AATGGATAAGTCACTTATTTTTTACTGTTGCTACATTCAGTTGTATTCTGTACATTATACCATGGAGGTATCCGCGTCATATGTACATGTATTATTCGCACACATTTAACGAATACAACAACTGTTAGATTGCTGAACCTAATCCAGAATGAAGATGTAGAACGTGTTGAAATCAAGTACAAACGTTTGTTTTCCTTCTTGAGAGTAAAAAAAAATGACGATGATTCCTCATGGGTTGTATTGCTTCCTCTCAGAGAATAAAACAATACTATCTTTGACTGTCGTACCTGTGGAAGTTTTGATAATTTCTTATAAACCGACCTAGAAATCTTCATGTAGACAAGAAATAAGCAAGGTTTACAAGTTAAACTGTGCTGTTGTGAAAAAACTCGGGAATATCATATTTATCATATCTACGTGTTTGTGTATCAGCTGAAAAAAAAACCAATGACCTAAGTGTCATGGGAAAACATGCCTTTGAGCAGCAAGTTTTAAATATATGTATATAGTTATTGCAGATTATATTTCAGATTAGAAATAAATTAATCAACACTTGATTTCTGCATGTACACATATACAATTAAGTATATCAGTCTGAATAGCAAGGCTGTGTAAAGTAAACACTTATCCCTTCTAGTATACGTCCCTGAAACGTCTGACTGGAACTCATGTGTTCCGTTAACTCCTATCCCTTCTAGTATACGTCCCTGAAACGTCTGACTGGAACTCATGTGTTCCGTTAACTCCTAGCTCTTCTAGTATACGTCCCTAATACACCTGACAGGTACTAATGTGTTCTGTTAACTCCTATCCCTTCTAGTATACGTCCCTAAAACTTTTGACCGGTACTGATGTGTTCTAGTATAATCATTCTACCGACTGATATCGACTTTACATATTGACATGTGAAAGTAAAAAGTTTTCCCCACGGCAATAGTGATGTACCTACACTGAATATAGATGGCTTGCAACAACATTACATCTAAATTTCACTCACTATAAAGTCGAATGAAAAGTATTATCTGTTTCATAAAATTAGAGATGTAATTTCAAGGAGTGATATCAAGATGTTAATTATTATAATAATGGATAGGTCCCTGTCACGATTTATATTTCATAGGTACGTATTTTATTGGTATTTGGTTAATTTCCGGATATTTTTATATCCCGACTCGGAAATTAGGCACCGCCGGGTAGGTATTTGACACACAGTCACAGACCATTGAAGCGGTTAGACGTGTCAAATTTACGGGCCGAGAACCAGACATTATTTATATTTTCTCAGGGTTTTTTAATGTGTATCAAAGTTCCTTGAAATGAAAATATTCCATCAAACAAAGCGCGTATAAAAAACCCAAAATATTCATGTTTATAATTATCAATTAACTAGAACGAAATATTTCCATAACATATCTATTCATTTTGCGTGTCATAGTGACATTATATAATGCATTGGAGATCAGAAATAGAAGTAGCTACAGTGAAAATATTATAAATTTTGTATATATGGAAGTCTGGTTTAATCTCATAGAACTATGTCTTTATAGATGTAATTACTGGAAGAAAAGTCTAACCATGATACTTCAAGGAAGATAGGCATGTAAATACATGTATTGTAATTACTTACACTTTAATCTATCTGAAATGCTGTGTACACCTTATCTACTTTCCTCAACCACAAATATAATTATAATAAGTAAGGACTATGACTTTGCAATACATTTGAAATAGAGAAGTAGGTATAAAGTCCTTTTGATTTGTCCAAATCCTCATATTGATAGGATAGTAATTGCAACATCTTGGGTATTATTTAGGTTTTATTTAGTCAACTTCATCATAGAGCTACTTATCATTTGGCTTGTTGGCGATAAATATATGGTTGTGTGTATTTTGTTTTGTTTTGTTTTGTTTTGTTTTTTTTACCTATTTCGATTTGGTCACGTTATTGTCGTCAAATTTGAAATTAGAATTAAAGAAGATATAAAATCGCTTAAAATTAAGAAAAATAGCCTCTGGTTCTCTTATTTTAGTAATTTTTCATTCCAAAGTGTAGGAGTATGGGGAAAGTACGTTTAGCCTCTCAGTACTGTCAGTACTTTGATTATAGTTATACTTAATTGTGTGCATGTATTGTTTAGGTAAGGTAGGGGTGCACACTAATCATTCGTAGTTGTTCTAGGCATGCACACTCGAGTATTAGAACGTTTATGTAACGTAATATTCACATGTGAATAATAGACTGTATTATATCAGATACGTGTATGTCTAATATAGATATTGATAGTTGTTTGGTGTGCGGTAGATGTTCTAGGTAATAGGTATTTTTCACATCTGTATTTTACAGATGTTACGTTATGAGAGATTATATTGGTTCTACGGTACAGTGAGGTTCTCGCTCGCCGGACTGCCTACCATAATACAACGACTATATGATAGATGAACTTTTCTGTCTGTGTTCTTACTCGAAGGCCGTGGAGATTGAACTCTAGTTACAGTATTTTCTTTAATATTCCATTGTAAATATTCATTGGTGTGAGAGTTTTCACAAGGAGGAGTGTAAATGTGTCAAGAGACTGGGTATATTCAAATGTATATTGGTGTATATTTGTGTAAATAAATTGCAAATATTGTACGTGATTGTCTCCCTTGTTTGTATAGGTAGCGTCACCGTTCACCCACACCAGTCACTTATTTTTTACTGTTGCTACCATCAACTGTGTACTGTACATTATAACATGGGGGTATCCGCGTCATATGTACATGTATTATTTGCACACATTTCACGAATACAACAACTGTTAGATTGCTGAACCTAATCCAGAATGAAGATATAGAACGTAAATCTTAGTGTTAAAAACAAGTGCAAACGTTTGTTTTCCATCTTGTTAGTACAAAAATGATTAGAAAAATGACGATGATTCCTCATGGGTTGTATTGCTTCCTCTCGGAGAATAAAACAATACAATCTTTGACTGTCGTGCCTATGGAATTTTTGATAATTTCTTATAAACCGACCTAGATATCTTCATACAAGATATAAGCAAGGTTTACACGTTACACTGTACTGTTGTGAAAAACTCGGGAATATCATATTTATCATATTTACGTGTTTGTGTATCAACTGAAAAAAAACAATGACCTAAGTGTCATGGGAAAACGTGCTTTAGAGCAGCAAGTTATAAATATATATATACAGTTATTGCAGATTGTATTTAAGATTAGAAATGAATTAATCGACACTTAAGTTTTGCATGTACACATATACAATTAAGTATATCAGTCTCAATAGCAAAGGCTGTGTAACGTAAACACTAATCCCTTGTATACGTCATTGAAACGCCTGACTGGTACTGATGTGTTCCGGTAACTCCTATCCCTTCTAGCATACGTTCCTAAAACGTCTGACTGGTACTGTTGCGTTCCGTTAACTCCTATCCCTTCTAGTATACGTCCCTAAAACTTTTGACCGGTACTGATGTGTTCCGTTAACTCCTATCCCCTCTAGTATAATCATTCTACCGACTGATATCGACTTTACATATTTACATCTGAAAGTAAAGAGTTTTCCCCACGGTAATAGTGATGTACGTACAGTGAATAGAGATGGCATGCAACAACACTACATCTAAATGTCACACTACAAGGTCGAATGAAAAGTATTTTCTGTTTCATAAATTAGAGATGTAACTTCATGGAGTGATATCCAGATATTAATTATTATAAAAATAGATATGTCACTTATTTTTTACTGTTGCTACCATCAGCTGTGTACTGAATAGATATGTCTTGCAACATTACATCTAAATGTCACACTATAAAGTCGAATGAAGAGTATTTTCTGTGCAAGGCAAAATGTTAACAACACGAAACATTATACATACTAACGAACACGGACCACATCTAAATTCATATTGCACACTGAAAAGGAATGTTACCCATTGAGATAATGGTTGTAATCATAAATAGTTGCCATAGCCTTCATCGACTTTTGTCTGTGATATATCGACGTTTTACATTTATATCTTTGTATTAGGAACAGGATCAACAGTAACACTTTTATTTAATGGGGAGGCAGGGATATCATTACCTACAAATAGGATATTAGTAATACTAAATCGAAATCATCATGATTATTAAACAGTTTGTGGAACACTCCCCTTTTTTAATTGTTTTTACTGTGGAAAAGGTCGAGGTGAGCGACTGATGTAGAAGAGTCTATCTTGTCTTTGATTTCTAATTATGGCGTGTTTATATATATATATATTTGACTTGATTTATATATTTGAGTTTGCTTATAAAGTTAAGAAAGCTAAAAGGAGAAATTAAAAGCGAGGCTTGTTATGTCTATTTTGATAAAGTTCCACGACAATTTCAGCCTTTCAAGGAGCAAATCTAAGTCTTTTTAAATACTTTGTCATCAAACACAAAGAAACAGCTCTTTGATGTCAATACTTCTCAATGATGATATTAACAGCAACTCTCCACAGCCAATGAATATCATGATACAGGATTGAGAAACGAAAAGAAAAATGCAAGACAATTTTTTTAATCAACATATGATGAATGTGATATAAGTATTTAACAAACAATCATATTCAAAACATTACTTCAAACCCCCTGTGTATTTCTTGTTAATGCCAAAAAATATAACATAATTCAAAATTGATTTTGTTTAAATATTGGATGGGCCTGTGGGTCATTTGTATATTATTATTGATAATAGTGATTTTGTGCAATCTATACGTTTTATAAAGACACATTTTTGCTATCATAATGGAGAAAAAGTGCAGGGAAATCGAAACATATACATGACATAAGCTTGTTTTATCGACGAGTACACGATACATTAACAAATTAGTGCATGCTTCATCAATTTACATAGAAATATCAAGATATTGGTTGTTGATGAGTTAATACATCCACTGTTGCCAGGTCACGCGGACGTTGAAACATTGACTTTTCATTTCCAGCGGGTTTCGCATCATACCTTGCTTCAGAAGCTACTTATCTAGGTCCAGATTCAACGGAGTTGTTTCCGATTTTAGAGGCTCCATTGGTCTGGGTTCCGATTCAAACGGATTCGAATCTAACAGTGGGGTATCCTGTTGAGGGTCGGTGTGATCGGCAGTGCTTGTATTCGGTACTAAATTTGAGTGAAGTAATATAGCTGAGGTTGATCCAATACTTGGATGTAGCTGTCTTGTTGATCGCTGTGTCCACTTTTCATTATCATCCAACCTCCACATGCTACAAATGCAAATAACGAAAGTCTGTATTAAAACTATGAAATATCTAAGGAATAGATGGCCAAGCTACTATGAAACATAACTGTGAAATGTGAACTTTGACCCTTTTACTCCAGATCGATGACCGCCAGAATCGGACCTGGTGTTTTAACGATGTCATGATACTACGATGCAAATATGAATTTAATCTTTTCATGGTATTATCAATTATCTGGTGCAAGACAGAAGTTGTCAATTGTGACCTTCAAGTCAGTAACCTTGATCTATTACCACCTTTACATACATGTATTGAGGAGTAAAATTTGTTATGATATAAAGAGTAAAAGTGAAAGTAATTCTGTATAGAGGGTTCTTAAGATACCACTTATGATGTACATTAATACTACATCCAACCATAAAATTACTGATGTAATAAAGAGCATCAATTTGTACAATTTATCTGCTTTTTTCAGAAATAACGTAACAAAGTTTCATTTCCAAGAACTAAAATTGCTATTTGGTTATCTGATCAGCCTTGATATTACAAGTAAAACACTAAGAACAGAGGAAAATCTACATGTGAACCTTGAAAAATCCACTTATCAAGAGATTACGATAACGGAGAGCCATTGCAAATATGGACCAAAATGTAACCAGGTTAACAAAGACCAACTTTGCTAAGAGGCTTTCAAGATGCGATACTGGTTCAAAACTATGTCGAACAGGAGGGCTAGATGTAAGTTAGTTCGTCAGAGTTCTGTACTATATCATGCACAGTGGTATTCTGACATTATAGAAGCATGGATTGATACTGTGTTATAGGAACTCTTTCTTGGGAGACGTTTAGCGTTTAGATGATATTGATGAAATAATTCATCAAGTCTTAACAATTGGATTTTTTACTTGTCCATTATAGATTTTTTCAAGAAAAATCATCAGACTACAAACCTGCTGTCGTGTATTGAATTCTTCTTATATTTTTTGTACCGGTAGACAATCAAGATACACACTGCAATTACGACTACACAAGTAGACAGGAGCACGCCAGCTAGGTATCCACCGTTGATATCACATGTGTAGGAGGCGACGTGGTCCGTACAGTCGAACAAAGGAGGACAAGGATCGTCGGCACATTCATCGATTTCTTCATTGCACCATTGACTACGATATCCAGCGTCACAAACACAACTATAACCGTCGAAGCTCACAGCTCTAACACTGTCATTGCATGGGTTGGCTTCTATATCCGTTTGTGCACATCGCCCATAGTTACACGGGGAAATAAGCACGAAGAGATGTACATCAATTCTAGCAGTCATCTGACCGCCTTTGTCCATTCCTACCATTTGGTAATGTAAGTGTCCGTGGAAATCAACGTCAGTTTTCAGCTTAAAATCTGTACGTTTATACGTCGTACTTTGGATGGGAGTAAAGGTATTGTTCGGTACTACGGGATCGCCGGATTCCTCCTCCACAAGTTCCGCGTCTGTTGGAAGCAAACGCCGACTGATTAATCTCAGACTATCTCTCATATCGGGATCCGCCATCAATAGAGAACCAGCGAATAGTTCGGTGTTGTTTCCTTCCAGGAAAATAATTATTTCAGCATCCAAATGGTCCGCCAGAGTGAAGTTGTTATCGTGCGATAGGAACCCTATTAAAGGAGGATCGTCTACATTGGTAATGTGTACCGTGATGATTTTCGACAAGGAGTGGGGATTATTGCAGATTGTTGTCTCCTCTGCCTCGACTACGATTTCTATTTGTCCCGAAAATTCTTCAGGTGGTACAAAAGTAAGGTAACCGTCGTTCGTGATAACCAATTGCCCTGATCTTGGTTTCTTGCCAGAGAATATTAAGGTATCGTTTTCTGCATCATTCCAGAGCAATTTGTGACGAACGACTGGAGTGTCTTCCAAGGTGTGTATAACGTTAGTGATAATAGTAGGCTCTGTATTGACGCAACCCCTACGCATCTGAAATAGTCCAAACTGATAGGGTGATGTAAGAATAGCCAAATCTGTTGACACGTCACGTTTTCTCCTGGCATTTTCATCTAAACCCTTATTAATAACAGTTTGATGGCACACCTGTAAGAAAATTTATTAAACAAAATTAGGCAAAGTTTTATGTGTCATATCATAACAGTCGTTCAGTTAAAATTTGTTAACGCAAACATCAACAGAAGATCAAGTTTACAAGTCAAAAATAAGAATTTTATTTCTTAAGCACTTTACCTGCGTGGTCAGATATGTCTGATTTTCTAGATTGCTGATACTTTTTGGGTTACATTCCTCTTGCACATGCAGCCATTTTCCATATCCTGTCATAATATGGAATAATAAACGTATCATAAACACGAGAAATCTAAATCCGTCTGATAATTGTATTATATAAATACACTGAAATCAAAAGATAGATACTCATCAAAAATCATGGTAGTATCAAATGGTATTTATAACGGTCATTTAAGAACAAGGAATTTTCTGTGAACACCCTTTTTCTCGGAATTTTCTTAATTGTTGTTCTAGAATAAAAGTTTACATTAGGTTAACAGTTGACTGACGTAACAGTGTAGCTGACGTAGATATTACATATTATTTACATAATGAAGATTTACCGTTATCCATGTTGTTCCAGAGAGCCAAAGCTGGTACTGTATCATTGTCATAATCCATAGGGTCTATCTTAATGCTGATAGTTATCTCAAAGTCAGCTGCCTCGATCTGTGGCATTGGGGACACAACGAAGGAAAGTCCTTTATAATCTTGCAATCTAATGAAACAAAAATGATTGTAAAATAATAATATTACCACAAATCAAAAGTGTTCAATAACATTAAAAACTGAATAAATAAGAATTATTTTCAAACATAAATGTTGTCTTCATTCGTTCAGCTATTTCTATCCTTATTTATTGTATAAGTAAACAGGGTAAAACAAAGGAAGGACATATTGAAAATGTTCTAGGTAAAGCATTATTGTACAATATCGACCTTTAAAACTTTATGTCAATAACCAATCCACTCACAAATTCATACAATAACAAGCCGACCTCTAAAAATACCTGTCATTAGAAATAACTAGTAGTTGTTTTAAACATCTATCACAAAAATACAGCACAGTAAAGTGTATTGACACATCTGAAAACTAACCTGTTTTTAAGGAGTCTTGAAGTGTACTTAATCGTTGACTTCGGATCAACAATTGAAGGGGAAAACTCGTCTGTTGCATCTGTTCCGTAATTTTTGGTGACGTCATCATTACTTAGTTGGCCAATCATAATGCCGCTGCGTCGTGCTATAACACAATGATAATGAGAATAGAAATATAATTTCGTCGATTATTGATTAAACACATTTTATAAAATGTACTGTCTAAACAAACAAATTTCATACTAACCTTGCATTTCAATCAATACATTGCTATCATCTGGCATCTCCGATCCTGAATTAAATCTCAGAATACTTCCATTTGCCATTATGGTAAGTATTGCTTTTCCACTTTCATTCAGCGAAAGTCGGGAATCAGTAGGCCCTGCAAGTATTTTTTATTTAACGCCAACTACAAGTGTACATTGGTAAATGCATTATTTGACTACCGGGATTCACAACAACATTCATAATGACCCATAAATCATTCATGCAAATTCTAACGTAGCCAACATTTCACCAGATCCAGACCTGCATGTTTATAAAGTAATTTTTGTATATGATTAACAATAATGTTTATCAAAGGCTTAATATATATATGCATCACAAATCCAGCTTTCAACATACTTGTTATGCATGTAGGCGATATAGGAATGGAACTTTTCAGGTGGGATCTTCCAACAGCTACTAGCGAGTGATGGAGACAACGACCTGGCTCCAATAGGAACAGGGAACCCTCTATTGTGTCGTTTGGCTGGTCCCGGAAACTTGATACGGTTGAATTCATATTTATACGATTGAACCAGACATGACCTTGAACTATCTCCGCCTGACCTGCCTTTGACACGCCCACTTTGATCATTGGAAGAATGTCGAATTTGTTTGCACTTGTTCCGATACCCCATTCTAAACAATTAAACACATCATTACAAATATCAAAAAGCAACACAAAGTCATCGTGTATTTCATCTAAAAATGGTGATTAGGACTTACCATATATGTCAGCGACATCTTCAATACTGTTCCAAGCAACACCAACAGAATCTTCCAACTCCGTGAATGATACATTGACAATGTGATCTCCACGTACATCGGCAGGATGGTATTCAAATAAAGACTTCGTTGTTACGTTCTCAACATCCGGAGGATACAATTCGACATTGAATTTACAAGAGAATTTGCCAGGTGATCCTGCTGCGTTGTATGCCCAGACATTGAAATAATACATACTTCCATGATTGAAGGTGTTTCCATTCGTAAGAAATATTTGACTTTTCGTCGCCAAGCCGATATCGGACATATTATAGATGTCCGTAGTATCAGGTGACGAGCCAATACCGACGGAATAGGAATACACCTCGCTCTCAGCATCCAAACAGGACCAGTAGGCTGCTACCGTGTTGTTGGATCCTATATACTCTGTCGGTTCCTCCATGCTGTTCTCGGGATCTAAGCACCTGACGTACTCACACACAGCATGGCTCGTGTCCACCATGATAGCATTAGATCTTGATGTGGACTTCTGTCCTGCAAAGTTCACAGCTTCGATGGTAACGTAATACGTGTGCGACTGTTCGATCTGGAATTCGTATTCAGAACCGTTTATCGCAGATGCTAAAGTCGGCAATAACTTGAGACCGGTTATGTCGATTCTAATTAAATCAAATTCTTCATATTGACATGTTTCCGAACAATCTTCCAAACACTCGAATTCGCATGGCAAACACAATGTCTGATAAAGTTGCATTGGAGATATACTGTCTGTACAGTTGTCATTATCAGTAACTCCTACCCAGATTTCCTTAATGCTACTCTCTCCATCATAAAACCCAGCACCGTGTAAACATAACTTATCCTTATCTGTTGGAATCAGGACATTTGTCACAACCATCTCCGATCGAAAGGGTTCAAATATATTTTCTATTGCTGGTTCATACTCGTTATCGTTCCATGTACTTAAAATGGTTTTCATACTGTCTCCGAATGTAACTCCAAATGCATTAGCTTTCGTTATTCCGTTTACAATTAATTTGATGTTGTGTTTTACTTCACCGCGCTTAGATTCCGTTTCCAAAGCAAATGTAAATATTCCTTCCGATTCAGAGGGATCGGCATCCAATGTGATCCATTCTTCAGAATTTTTCACTTGACCAGCGACCCAAAACATTGCATCCCAATGATTACTTCCATTTTGCTGTGTGCCTATAATACTTAATCCGAAACCGAATTGACCAGGGTTTGGAAGCTGAGCATAATTTTCACCTGTAAAATTCTGGTCTGATGGAGTAGGGTTTTCAGTTATAAAGGTCGAGGAGGAGAACGTAGTCGTTGAAATCATTGGGATTTGTGTGGTAGAAGAGTTGATTTCTATTTCTGAAACCTCCTCTTGTAATGTCATGTTGAAGATCACTCCACCAATGGTTGTTCTGTGTGGCGGAGTGTAATTCTTTGGGAAAAGTTGAGATTCTGAACCAAATGAAATTATTGATATGACATTAATGCCTCTAGCCGCCTTAAGGGATACCGTATAATTCCCAGGCAGCACCGGGATCGGTGTGCTTTTCATTCCACTTCTCATGAACTTAGTTTGGGCCGTGTTATAGCCTATAATAAGCTTAGCTTTGGTATTGGTGAATTCCACGAATTCCGGATTATATGAACCGGTCATCTTTTCCCATGATATGGCATTTGATAATTGGACTGGAAAGCTTACTCTCTGGTTCGCACAAACAAATACCTCATGTGATCTTGAAATACCAATCCATGCAGTGATTGTTTCTTTCGAGGATTGAAATGTGGAAGTAGTGAACCAGTTTGGGGCTATTTTTACATCACCTATGAATGGAGCGGATTGATCTAAGCGGAATCTCGAGCTAATGATCGAAGAGGTTAGACCAGCTGTGTTTAAGGCAGTTACTTCTAGGAAATAGAACACTTTAGGAAATAATGACAATTGATACATTGTTGCTTTAGTATCGCCTGTAACTAAAACTGAATCAACCTTGAACTCCGGTGAAACAGTTTTCGACTTACAGTCAGTCATTTGGTATAATGTCACCTCAAAAGTATCGATACTACTCTCATATTCAGTAAAGTTCTCCCACGCGACCTCAAGTATATCAGTATTGTCGACAAATATGTCGTCTTTTCTGTCGTCAGCTACATTACCAACATGCAAAAGTACGGACGCAGCATCTGGCGGAGTGGTATCAATCAAAATAGGCGATGACGTAACTAAACGACACATGTCAGCCTCGCTGACAGCTAAAACACTTACGAAGTAGAAATGACCGTGCTTCAGATGAAGATTTGATATCTCTACCAGGGTATCTAGTCCGTAGGTTGACATTGGCTTCTCGTCAAATAGTCCGAATGAATTATAAAACGTTTCGCATGGAAATGTCTCATTTTCGTTATGAGTACAATTGAACTGAACCTGATTGCCAAAGACACCGACAAGGTATTGTCTTATTCCAATATCAGACTGAAATTCCGTCCATGATGCAACTATTTTTGAAACGTCTGATTGAACTACTGGAGTTTCGAGCAATCCCGGATATATTTGATTTTCGAAGCCAACTTTGATGCCATTAGAGAAAGCCTCTTCCTGACTTCCAGCAACACTGGTAGCTCTGACCGTTACGTAATATGTCACATCCTCGGATGTCAAATTTAAGTTACGGAAGGTGTGAGATTGATTCAATCCGACATTCACATAATAGTAAATATTCGATCTTGTTTTTGGAAAACGGTGGTCATCACCTAAAGCTACTTCATAGTGACGAATCGTCTGCGTAGGATTTCCCGTATCATCCCCAAATTCGTCCCAGTTAGCTGATATTTCGTTAACACTTTGCTGGTAGTTAATGTCGTCATTCAGACCATCTCGTACATCAGCTGGGTTTGGTGGCTCTATACGGACGGTGATGCCATCAGAAGCAGACATAAAGGTTCTATTTAACGCGTCCCTCACCTTGATAATATTAATGTACGTGAATCCATTCTTCAGACTAAATTCGTCGTTATAGAATGTCTTTGCATTCTGAACAACGTCTTCAAAATCTTTAATATCGTTACCCATGAGATCTTCAATTTTCCATTGTACCCTATCGATTGGGCAGGTATCAGAGAATCTCCAGAATCCACGAATTGTATTAAGATTACTTTGGTAATCGTCATCTGCTTCAGGACCACCATCACCAACAGTTAATAATGGTAGGACACTAACCGTTACACTATCCGAGTAGAACATTTTTGACAGTCCCGCAATGTTTGTCACCATCGCCGTAGCGTAAATTATCTTTCCATGACCGAGATCTAGATTTCCAAGGAAGACTTTTCCAGACGAAGGAACATCTACATAATCCGTGACGTCACTATGTCCAGGTGTGGTGCCAATTGCGACTTCTATCCTATTAAGAAATATGAATTTATCAATCATGTTCCTTGCTCAAACAATGGCTAGTGCAAATTCCATTCATATAAACATTGGCTAAAACAATATACAAACATTACAGATTTGGATACCAGTTGTGTGATATTGAATATTCGTGATTCGCCCCTTACATTTTAAATATTCGCAAGCTTATAATAAGTATTGAAAAGATTGTGCAAGCATGTACGAAAGACACACAAATAAATAGCACCTTTTAACATACATTAACTTCGGTAAAGTAGAGCCGAACAATTCATTAAAATGCATCATACAACTGTTCTGACCTTCTGGAACTCGTCAGTGATGCTGAGGGCTTACAGTTTGACGCCTAAGCATCGACCGAGGAAATCCAAAGTGATCGAAAGAAAAGTTCAGCCGGAGAGGTACACTAGCCCCTTAATTCAATATATGTCGTTACTTTTGAATATTGGTTTTTGAAAAAAATGAAAACATGGCATGCCGGTTACGGCAAACCTTTTGGATGTGAAAAGCTTTCTTGAAATTACGACAGCTTGGTATTCTGCCAGAGGAAAAACTATTGTTGTTTTGGTCTCGTTTATAAGTGTTTAAACGAACGAGCTTAATATCGTTCTATTTTGACGTCACGTAATATATCACATATCATTTAATGTTATATAGTTACATAGCATATCAGTCTGTCCTTTCTATTTAGGATTCGAAAGGTATTATATCATAAAAATATATAGTCAATGTTAAATAATATATTATATTGCATACCATTCTGTGCGAATGCGTGAGCGGTTGAAAAGTTTGGACCGGTTGAATCTTCAAGAAAGACTGGAAACGAGGCTGGACTGCGGAATGTTTGGCACGTGTAGATTGAATATGGGTTAAATGGGTAGTATCTTATCATATCTTTTATCTAATGCTTGACAAGAAATTATTAAACTGTGCATTTTGAATTTTACATGTATCGATTTCAACATCCGGTACATGTGCATTTGTATATCACAGAATAATTCGAGGCCACCTGAACCGTTTCAACCGGGTTACACGAAATCGGACATGTTCTTCAGTTCATAAATAATATAAATATGAATTTATACAGACATATATCGACAGCAAAATTCGTACCGTTTTCGTTTCACATGCGATGTAACGAATGCATTTTTGACAAAGTAACATTATTGAAAGAGATTAGATCACCTACCTATATGGAAACAAGTCTTATCTACAATTTGAACAAATCATCAGCATAAGAATGAAAACACAGTACATGTATCACATGACGATTTGTGTAACATCGGTATCTATATACTGTACACTCACCTTTCAATACCAGTTTCTTCGTCAGCAGGGTTTTCTACTAATACATTCACATACGTCTGAGGGATTTGGCATCGTTGGTGAATTGTTATTTCTTTTGAGGACATCTGCGTCACCACTTTGACGATCGCAGACGACGGAGGGGTAGCGTCCACTATAACTGTACGCACGTAAGTGGTATTTTGATTCAGGACATTTGAAATCGTCATATGCAAGGATATTTCTTTTGTATTTGTTTCGTTCAGAAAGTCATTTACATCAATAATAACTTCTCGCCTACCATGCGGTATACTACGTTCAATTTTTAAATTGTTGTATGGTGAAATGACTTTTATTGTCAACGATTTTATAACACTTTCTTCTTCCACAACAAATTCCCACGAACATGCTATAAGAGATCTTTCCGTTGATACAGCTTCAGTGCATTCCAGAGATCGGATCGTTGGCGCGGATATATCGGCTATGACAGGATCTGTGCTTATAAGTTTGTTATTTCCAGCACGATCCTCTGACCTTAAGGTCAAGAAGGTGGATTCACCAGCTTTAGGTGAAAGGAAGCCTACCGGGGTTCCGTTTGAATCAACTATTTCAGTTGCAATAACGTCTGTCATGTAAGGAAGACTTCCGGCTGAGAGGGACATCATCTTTATGTCAGAATGATCAGAAACATTCCACACAATATCCAAAGAATCGACGTAGGATTGATAAAAGACATTGTCATGGTGCACATAATGTGTATCATCCAATTCAGGTCCGATATAATTGATTTCCGGAGGGGATGTGTCCAGTTTTATACCATCAGATGAAGATACTATATACTCTTCATGGCAATTATGTCCAGGATGTGCCCTCACAGTGACATAATAGGTTTTTCCCTCTGTCAAATCCATATGTATCTGAGCTTGCCCGTGTGACGAGTTATGTACCATCAGTCCATATCCTGTGTACGGTAAAACATCTGACATATAAGCATCAGAACCAATCGCCCATTCATACTTTATGATATTGCATGCTTCACTTTCAAATCCAGCGAACGTAACGGCTAAGGAAGATCTGTCTACAGTGTAATCCTCATCTACGGATTCTTGTCTGCCATCAGATACTTGACCTGGAATGTTGGCTTTAAGTACTATGATTGGTTTTGATGAGACAATGTTAGATACCATTCCCGCTCCGTTGGTGACTTTTATAGAAACGTAATAAATCCTATTGGTTTCTGAAAATGTTTCTAGGGCCAAATTATTCACTGTAAGTATTTTCTCACTCCCGTCAAACTCCAGGAATTCCCCAGTTATGGATATATCTCCTTGAGATGTTCCGATGCCTAAATATACTCGGTCGATTCCACTTTCCGGATCTTGGCCAACCCAACTTACAGTCAAAATGGAAGGATCAACATGCAGTATTCTGTCTAACTCATCCACTTCTTCGTCTTCTTTGGGGAGTCCAATATGGACCTAGGATTATATGTAAACAAAAGTTTTTTTTAAATGCAACCAGATTATATCTTTAAAATAGCATTGCGATATCTTATCATCCCTTAGTTAATTACTAAATAAGCTTTTGAAAATCATAAACATTACACATAAAATAATAGAAATGTAGAATGGAACAGCAGATAGCACATGTACACTTACCTTTGTCAATATCGGTGAAGTTCCATCGACTGTTACTCCGAAAGATTCGTGTGAGGTCGACAAAAGAGCATTATTAATGGCTGTTACAACAATCGAGTACTTTGCACCATTTACCAATTTCAGCTGATCAATTTTTAATTTCACTGGTCCGTCGTTCATCGAAGTATCTGTAATCTGGTAAGTGGCATTAACAGGCCACGATTTATGTTTACTGCCCTGATGCTGCTTATTTATGAAATATCTATACTCTTTTATATTAGAATCCTCATCTTTGAATAACCAGGAAACATCTAAGTAATCGATGAAACTTTGGTAATGTGTTCCCGTCTCTGTGTCATGGATGTAATCCATTACGGGTGGGGTGTGGTCAACAAGAAATCCATTTGACGTCACATCTACAGTCTTACCGGCTCCATTCTCTGCGGTAACTATAAATTCGACTTCGTCCCGGTGATTCATCGTGATAGATCTTTCCGTAAACTGGGTTAAGTCAACTACTTCAAATGTCTGGATATGTTCTCTATTGATGTATAATGAAATGTCATATTTGGCGATGTGACTTTCCGGATCAGTGAAATTATCCCAGTTACATGATTTTGTAGCCGTCTCAGAGGAGAAATCGATATCATTCCCTTTAACTGGTCCATCCCAAATTATGCCTGGTAGAGGCGGAGTGATATCAATAAGGACTGTAAAAATTAGTTCGGGAAACACATTAGATGTAAAACAATTAGCATATTGTCAATATCAATTATGAAAGGTTTCTCGTTCTGCGTTCCTTTATGGTTCAGCTTGTATTAGTTTTAATTGTTCAGTGACCACTGATAACATTATTCCACTTAAATGTACAATTTACTAGAGACTGATTAAATAGAACGCCACGCCTCAATAACCCATAGTGGTTACCATTCCATATGAACTGGACAGCGGTGCAGATTGTTTATTTCTAATTTACATGTAAAACTAACTATACATATAGGCCGACACCTCAGAAAAGAGACATGTGTGATATAGAAGGCATATAATATATTTATGTAAACAATATAAACCCACTCACTCCCGTCTGATGTTCCATTACTACTTTTGGAGTTGAGTGCCGCATTGTAAGCATTCACTGTAGAGTAGTAGGTGGTATTATGCTTCAGAGCTAAATCACCGGCACAAGAACGCTTAAAATGATGGGTCAGATTGTGGAACTTGACAATGTCATCAGCACCCTTTGCTGTACCAACACCCCAGATATAACTGTAATAATGTAAAAAATGTATCGATTATTCCACAAAGTTGCATTTGGCCATATAAAGTAACATGAAATACAGAAGAAAACATTCCTTTGTACATATATACTATCTATTTTAAAACATATCCACTTACGATGCGACTGATAAAAAGTCTGATAAAGCAAGGAGCCCATAGGGCCTATGTCACTCATTTGGTTTTGTTTGGATAGAATTGCTTTATCAAAACTAAAGGTTAGTATCTATTTCCCCATTGAGCTCCATCTATTTGCTCTCAGAGGGTCAGCCAAACGAAAGTCTTCTAAATCGGGACCCACTAGGAAACATAATTGATTCCCTTCAGACGGATGATTCAGCCCATATTGGAACAGAGTCCTGACATTAAATTTTTTTTTAAATCCCCTATTGTACCCCTCCATCAGGGCGCGACTTATCGATACATACTTAAATACCCTTCTTTTCTCAAAGAAAGTTCTGGTAAAATTTGTCAAGATATGCTCAGTCTTTCGTGATTGCCAGTATTTTAAAGAAAATGTTGACGGACGGCAGACAATGGACGGATGGCGAATACCAGAGTACAGCATTAGGTCACCTTTGTCCTAGGTGAGCTAAAAATAGTATGATACTCACTCTCTGATGCCGGACTCCTCATCGTAAAACCTCACCCACTCGGCACAAATGGTAGATGTGTCAAATTGGTAGTCAATGTCAGTGTCTAGTTTGTCTCCATCAAGGACCACGCCGACATTTGGCGGGGTCAAGTCGATCAGAATCTGCTCGTCTCCATGGCGTGCGGTGTGAAGTCCCACTGGTGGATTATTGTACAAAAGACGGACACGTGAATAGCACCTTTTTACACAAGTTTGATACAGTAGAGCCAAACAGTGAGGTTAACTGCATTGTACAGCTGTTTCTGCCTTCTAGAACTCTACGGTGATGATAAGGGGCTAAATGTTAAAACCTTAAGGACAACTGAGGACAATCCAAAGTCATCGAAAGTCAAAAGGATTGGCCAAATAATAAAGATGATTATTTTTTGAGGTTATGAATACATGCATGCATAATCTGCATTATTTCTTATAAAACTTTTGTAACTTGTAAATGTTAATCCATTATTCACAGTCGGGATAGTAACCAACACAGTGTTGCATCCTGGCTTTACCCTCTCAATCAATTAGATCGTTTTATATGAACATACCCATGGAAACACGAAATACATCACTTACCGTTGTTGACTGCTCTCAGCCGTAGCCAAGCCGGGACTCCATGACCAAGTCCGAGATGTTCCACGGCAACAAATGGTTCTTCCCTTGTGACATAAGTCTGCAATTCATATCCACGAATTGTGACATCATGTTTTGTTTTGCCAAGTCCAAAGTCTACTCTTGCAAGATGGGAAAGTGGGTCCGAAGCATTGAAGTAGACCGCCAGAAGGTCAAAATCTTCGTCGTAGAATATGTCCAGGACTTTGGTAAATATTGGAGCTGTTGTATCGACAGTAAATGGCGTACTGTGACACACTGTTGTAACAAGTGCACCGCCGAAGACAATGTTGTTGAGAGCTCTAACAGTGACGTAATAAGGACCATCCTGAAGGTGCAGGTTCTTCTCGTAACCGTTGTGTGTCCAATATTTCTCACTAGAGTGATGTTTATGTGGATCAGACTCCTCTACAATGTCCTGAGTACATACAGTTTGTCCCACCATCCAGGTATATCCCGAAATACCGCTCTCGTCGTCATGGAAACCATCAAAGTTGACTGCAATTACAAACATTGAAATATTCTGATATAATTATGTTCTTTTTTATCGCGCTTACTTGATCAATCTATTTCTCCTATCGAAAAACATTTTAAAAGAAAAAAAAGTAAAAGTAATAAGCTCAAATGTTAATTTGTAAACTTACCTGAGGCAATGTGATTATTTATTGTGTAAATTTCATCCTGTAGTGGTTTAAGCCCATTAAACACGGTGCTTGATTCCTCGTCATCAACTATCACCCTAAAACATATAGAAATACAACAATATTAAAAAATAAGACGTTGTTGACTTTAATGTTATGATAAGCAGGATCGTGAACAGCACATTAAGAATATGATATACTGTTACTGTAATTTCGTTTAGGAGTTCCATGATTTTACTTACTTTGTGCGAGCTATCCATATGTCTTTCACGTCAACATATGCATGTGTTACCTGCTTTTTGTGTATCAAATTGCAGACCAAACTACATTTCAGATGTATTTATTCACTTGAAATCCTTATTTATTATTACAACTATTAATGAATCATTATTACATGGTCACTGATGCCAATCACCTTCCATAGGAATATCAGGATATTTTTGTTTAAAATACTGAGATCGGCACACGACAATACACATACATATGTCGGTAAATTCAATGGCCAAACTGCTGGTGCAGGCAATACGAATGTATTTTTCACAAATTGTTTAAAATATCTTTATTTACCTCCAGCGGAGCAGGAAATACGCCTGGAATTATTTCGTTTGTTCGATAAATCATCATTAACCTCTCATTACAGTATAAGTAATCAAAGGAATCAAATTATTCCAAACTGTACACTTGTGCAATATATTGTATCAATAATGATAATAAGAATGTCGCTTACTTATGGTTTTCTTTCCATGTGACTTCAACACATCTCTGAGTCACGGCTGCTGAACACTGACTTGCTTCCATAGTGACTTGTGCTGCTGGTCCTAGGTGACCTGGTGATGGTGGCGTAAAGTCTACTGTTGTACCAACAGATGTGATGTAAGCTGTGTACCCCATCGCGTTAGTCACTTTAGCATTTATGTAATAAACAGTTGCATGCTGTAAGGGTAAGTTTTCATAAAGGATGTAAGAACTATGTCCAACTCCGAGACGTTCGTAATTCTTGAATGTCCCACTCAGTCGTAGCGAAGCTCGTGGCCCTTCAACAACTTCGTGCATGTCGCATATTTCGGAATGATATTCATAGTCAAACGAAACGCACTTAATAGAATATTCCAAGCACAGCTTGGCACATTCAACCGCTGTTCGTGTTTTGGCCGTTTTAAAATTTTGCGCTGTCAATTTTCCGTCCCGAGGTACGCTGAAATACTTCAGCTCGTCATTTATTTCGTCACGGATAGTTGTCTTGTCAATGTCAAGTGAATCCCACGTTACAAATTCGCTTCCATATTGACCTGAGGTGAATCCTACAGCCTTTTCATGAAAAGGTTCCAATATGCTATCATCGAATACTACCACTGTACCGCTTATCTTGTTCGGATGACTTGAAAACTCAAAAGACGGGTCGATTCTGCCATCTGGAACTGTTGTGTCATAAGTCGGAAGCATACAATATGAATACGCTTCCAGACCTTGTGTATTTCTTGCCTTGACAGTCCAATAAAGAGGTATACCGCTCGGCAAATCGTTAGTAGGAACTAGCAGAGATGCACCCCCCATTTCTGTCCAATCGACTACGTTTGTCCCACCACGTTGTGTACCGATCGCATAGAACAGTTTCACCTGACTCGTTTCGTCAAGTGTAGATACTTCTAACTTAAATGCGGCATCAAGAGGACTTCGGAACTTCACTTGTTCAAGCAAGCATCCTTTAGGGCCTTCACGCTTTCTTCGGGAAGTTACAGAGTTGGGGGGAAACTCAGGCGGGGAAGAATCCTTACCAATGACAGGCGTCGTGAAAATGTTATGTTTTATTGTTGGCGTTGTGTATGACCATATGCTAGCATCAAATATAGTGACACTCTTGTTTGGTAGACATAATACAACAACGCCTTTCAGGTCAAGCTTCAAGGGGATAAGAATAAGGTCCATCTTTGCTCTGAAAGACCGTTAAAACGTCCAACTAAATAGGTTCTTCAATATAAAATTTAAGATTTAAATATAATAGAGACAAATAATAACTTAAACAGCCTCAGGCCAATATCATGGAAATCTACTTGATATATTAGAAACTCCAAAATGGGTCGTAATAAATATCAAAATATTCTTGAAAAAATCTTGACAAGAAGTAACAGCTCCTTGCAAATATGTTTAAGTAGATAGTCTTTTTTGTTTGCAATCTCTATTGGAAGTATCAAGCTATTAAATCTAGTTAACTTTTCGAAAATAGTTGTTAAATTAATCCATAGTGTTTACATGTCGCATTTGATTGGATATTCAAGACCCTTTTCCTAATGTCCCTGACAACTGCAAAACACATGGTTTCAACTGATTCTGGCTGCTGATGTTTTACGGTCATCATAGCGATCTCGTTGAGACCATTTTGCTCCTATGTGCTATATGAAGCTGGAAATGTTTGTTGCTCGTTGTTGTATAACTTTTTCTCATTGGAGAACGCAACATTACTTGATTGGATTGACCAAGATTTAAATGGCGGATGTAGTCGATGAAACAGCAGACGATTACTCTTCCGGAACACTTGGTCTTATTTTCTTGTACTTTTTAGAAGTCACAGAAGATGAACAGCGAATTAGTACTTTTAATAACATATACACAATGCACAATGTTCTTTAAGAATATCACATTGAGTTGTAATCACGATAAATACTTACGTTACATCCAATGGAAATTTACTGAATCCTATGCTCCCCGTGATAGGAAATTTCGTTTCCAATAAATAGCCTACAAGTCGAATTCCTCCTCTTGCGAAACCCAAACTTATGCCTGCTGTCCCCCAAACACTGGCCCCAGCACCAGGAGTAACAGTCACCTAGATAAATGCATATATACAAAATATGTAATTATTTTTTTATTCAATAAATGTGGATGTTATTGCATAAAAATCCAACGATATCAATGTACAAAAATTCAGTCTGTGCTTTATTGTGATTTAACAATACAGAGCTCTATTAGATCAGTCACAAAATCAATATTACATATCAAATTAATTTTTAAAACATCAAATACATCTTTCTTGTTGGCGTCAAAGTGTTGGTGTGTTTTTTTTATCATTACTGTCTTTTAAATATATTCATTTAATTTTCAAATTAATATGAAGGTAATGATAGCCAATGTTGGGTAGTATACCATGTGGTTTGTGTTTAGCTGATCCAACTATCATGTGGAGAGGATGGCATTACTTAGATTGATATGTATCTATATTGACCGTGTTTTAATTTATTCGAATAGTGGCGCGGTTCAGAATGCACACGTTCATTTGACGCTGTTCAAAAATTACCCAATATACAAAAGCTACGAAATTTATTTAATTATGGGGTTACTACACCTCCCTATCTGTAGTTTGATTTTTCTCTTTCCATCACTTTGGATTTTCCTTACCGCCTCCTAGACTTCAAAATTTAGACCCTGTTTAACATGTTATCTTGTTTTGATTTTATCAAAAACATCAAAGGCATGGACAATGATATATATGTATATATTATCAAAAGCACCAGTATATTCAGTAATAGTTAACTATGTGTATTGGCCGACTTACTCTTGCGCTCATACTAAGGAAACAAACTCCTAAATTAATGTCCAGGCTCAATGATCCTCCGGCTCCGAAACCTGACCAGGTGTGAAATGTTTGTCAGTAAGTAATGATGAAATTATAATAAAAAAAAGAAAAGTGATAACATGTTGATAGCATTAGACGTCACAATTTGAAAGCATTGAAAATGAGTTATGTTTAACTGGTATACTGTGCTACAATATATTCTACTTCCTTTCTGAAGAGTGTCTTGTTCATTCATTTTGATCAGATTTATCACAGAACATGATTCAATGGAAATTATTAAAGGTGAAATGATATGTAGTGTAAGAAGGCATTAAAGACATGACGGAATCCATACCTAGAAACAATGGAACAGGCCCAACTGGGAATGTTTGAGAAAACTCGAAAAATGTAATATCCCATGGGTCTATAGGAATATCCGCATCAATACAGAAATCCATTTTATCTTGAAATTCCTCCCCTAAGATCTGCAGAAGACCTTTCGGATTCTTGAAAAGCTAAAACGATATTTACAAAGCATATATAGCATGACAATGCAGTTGCTGTACGCATAGCAATTAATAACATTCTTGATATTGACTTGGGCAATCGTAAACCCCTTTTACCTAGGCAACAATATATTGAAGTTTAGAATAATATGTTAACGTAGGCCCTAATAGTTTTGTGAAAGTGCCATTTTCGCTTTATATTTCACATAATCATCCATGGTGTATAGATATAATATTATCTTGTTTTGATGACACAAATGATATTTAATGTACCCAATTCTACATTCTACCAATAGTTTTATAATATTGTATGAAACCAATTACATCTCACATATTCCCAATTAATTTCACCGTATGGGATGAAACCCATTCTAACTCCCATATTCCTTTCTAATTTCACAGTATTGTATGTAACACATTCTACCTCACACATTCCCCATTAATTTCACAGTATTGTATGTAACCCATTCTACCTCACACATTTCCCATTAATTTCACAGTATTGTATGTAACCCATTCTATCTCACACATTCCCCATTAATTTCACAGTATTGTATGTAACCCATTCTATCTCACACATTCCCCATTAATTTCACAGTATTGTATGTAACCCATTCTACCTCATGTATTCCCCATTAATTTCACAGTATTGTATGTAACCCATTCTAACTCCCATATTCCTTTCTAATTTTACAGTATTGTATGTAACCCATTCTCTCTCATACATTCCCCATTAATTTCACAGTATTGTATGTAACCCATTCTACCTCACACATTTCCCATTAATTTCACAGTATTGTACGTAACCCATTCTACCTCACACATTTCCCATTAATTTCACAGTATTGTACGTAACCCATTCTACCTCACACATTCCCCATTAATTTCACAGTATTGTATGTAACCCATTCTACCTCACACATTCCCCATTAATTTCACAGTATTGTATGTAACCCATTCTACCTCACACATTTCCCATTAATTTCACAGTATTGTATGTAACCCATTCTACCTCACACATTCCCCATTAATTTCACAGTATTGTATGTAACCCATTCTATCTCATACATTTCCCATTATTTTCACAGAATTTATGTATGTAACCCATTCTATCTCACATATTCCTTTCTAATTTCACAGTATTGTATGTAACCCATTCTATCTCACATATTCCTTTCTAATTTCACAGTATTGTATGTAACCCATTCTACCTCACACGTTCCCCATTAATTTCACAGTATTGTACGTAACCCATTCTACCCATTAATTTCACAGTATTGTACGTAACCCATTCTACCTCACACATTTCCCATTAATTTCACAGTATTGTACGTAACCCATTCTACCTCACACATTACCCATTAATTTCACAGTATTGTACGTAACCCATTCTACCTCACACATTTCTCATTTATTGTATATTATTTCATGTAGACATTTCTATCTTTCGCCTTCCCTATGAACATTAATTGAATATTGATTGCTTGGCGTGGACTCTCGTTTTAATTTACATGAAGTATTTGAAGGGATTACTGACATGTATATCGATATCTACTGATCTACTGAACTTACCTCAGATACGACAGCATCTCGTATTTTTCCTATAAGTTCCATATCATTGAGAGTCATGATATCGTTTTGTGAAATCGCCAGTATCATATCCCCTAGTGTCATTTTCTCTATTTCGGATGTAGGCACATCCTTTCTTCTTCCATCAGTGCTTGAATCTAGGTCAAGATATGGAAAACCATCTCTGAACATGTCATTTTCAATGGATATATATCTAAACATGTCATCAAACGTAACAATCATAGTTTTATTTAAATGCAACACCCGAAAAGTATGATGCGTCATACAGTGACTAATATAATGGAACACAGGCAGCAAACATACCGTCGCAGACGTCGACTTTGGGGAACGTGATGTCAGTTGTGATCTTAGTCCTCACGAGACAGGAAAGATATTCTTCGTGACAAATGGTTGCTTCAGCACTTAGCACAATCGCGTTGTCAATGACGTCAGCGTTAACGATAAGTTCGGCACTTAGACTCCCTAATGTCATCAATGGGATATGGTAATCATGACCTACAATTTTATTGGCATATATAATAAATATGTAATGTATATACAATATCAAACTATACCACAGAGGGTAAGCAATCCCTTAAAAATCAATGTGTTTTGGTAAAAACCTTTAATACATATTCCAAATATAAATGTACTCTATCTATTTCTTAGCTCTTACTGAACTATCAATTCCTTTTTAAATAATTTGATCGAGTTAATTACAAATGGATCTAGTTTCTTAAACGTATCTATATAGAACAGTGACATGCCGTCACATCTATCAACTATTAAACAGATAACAGTAATATATACAGCCGAGAGATACGATACTCCACACGGAGGAAGACCTGTATACTATACTAGCTTGTCATAATATTTGTTGAATTATGATTATAATTGTTCATGACAATCATAAAAAAGATAAATGCGTAAAAATATGACGTTACCGTCATGTCATGCTGGATGCTGAAAACCATTCCTAATTATGAACGAAGAGTAATGGTATATCTATATATATATCCATAGCCTAATATATGTGTTATAATATATACAAACGCAAAGACAGTTAAAAGTAGCGAATACCTTTCTCATAAGACGGAGGTTTCTTGGCAAAAAGTAGGCATATCTTACCATCGAGACTGATGTCGTTGTTGTCTGTATTAACCGCGATATGTAGTTTCGAATCACAAGGTCTCACACTGATGTCAACAGAAACCATTTTGAACACTGATCCATAGGGAAGCATTAATCCACATGATAAACCCAGACAGTTTTCGTGGGCCTGGCATACATGGCCAAATCCTTTGTTCAGGCCGTCGCGAAAAGTTGGGCAACCTGAAGATTGAATTCAAACGGTAAACTTTTATGAAGCATATTTGGCAACATAGTGTAGCTTTGTGCCGTACTATGTAGAATAATTGATTAAGTGTTTAGTTCAAGATTTTTTTTTGTAATTTATCATTTTATTCAATACAATGAGTTGATACAGAGAGGGAATATACAATGAAACAGCCTATTGCTCATCCATGCAAGCCCACACACACCTTTGCACACATGACAGCTCTTATAGTAGCTATTGTTTGTATAACTCAAGCAAGACATGCTCATACACACAACAATTAAAAAAAACAATTATATACTGTATGCATACACACACATAAACAAACTTTTTCATACACAATCACTATTCATTCTCCCTTGCATATACACATATACATACTTATCTATAAACAAGTTGTTTCATCCACAGTCACCTTTCATTCTCTTTTGCATCAGAGACATACATAACACACATATGTCTCTGCTTGCATGTACACACATACATGTTTCTGTATAAACAAATTGTTTCATACATAGTCACTATTCATTCTCCCTTGCAGATACACACATACATATTCATGTAAAGACAAATTGTTTCATATACGGTCAATATTTAAGTACTTAAACACCACTAACACCCTCACTCATACATACTCTCACCCATCAACACATACCCTCGCACACAGACAGACATACACTCAGACAGACAGACAGACTAGACCAGATCAGACCTGGCCAGACCAGACCAGACAAAACCAGACCAGACTGATAAACAATATATTTGCATATAGTCGTAGGAATGTATACATATAAAATAAGATAATAATGAGCTTGTTACTTAAGCCTGTACTTTTTCGCGGATAAAAAATAAAAAAAAAACAAAAAAGAAACAGCTTCATTCAGGTGCAGCCTGATCAATTTAACTTCGACCGAGCTATCAACAAGATGTAGTCAGCATGGAAGTGCTTACACACTCATTGTTTTTTTTAACGTTTTTTCAAAAGGAAGAAGAAAAAGAAAGAGATAGAGAAAAGACTATATACATAAGTAACAACAGGATATTTAGTGGTTGGGATGGCAAGCAACAACTAATGAAAAAAAAGTTCTGTTTTAATTATATATATTTTCATCTTTTTGTGTGTGTGCAGGGCTACTATGGGTTATTTATTGGATGCTAAGGAGCTGCAGATGTGACTTGAATAAATTGCTGTCAAATATGGATTTTTGCCACTGATGCTATGAGTTACAACCTGATAAGACCATTCCATTTTCTCCATTCGTTTTCAAATTTTGTCTTTGCTTTATCATCTTTACCATTTGTTATGTATTTTTGAACTGTATAAGTGTCCTTTATTATATTTATTATTATTATTATTAGTGTTTAGATCAAGATACCTTCATCCAAAATTATCATAAAATATGTGTCTCATCCTTTCTATGTATTTCTTATTTCAATGTTATCGAAAGAAATATCATCATAAACATTCAAAGCTGAAAGCGTTTGTTACGTGCTTTAATAGGTGTTCAATTTTAGAAGAAAAAAAAAACATCTTCAAAACAAAGACTCAAATAGGATCACATTAACGTTTGACATGAATCTCTATATTCACTTCCCTAATACTTGATATTTTAAATCTTCCATTGACTATTCATTATAAGAGAGAGACCGACCATCAATCGAAGTACATTAAAAGAGTTTTACTATTTTCTGCCATTGAGAACAGCTTTGAAATCATGGAGTACTTGTCGGCTAGTCCTTCAGCAGCGCCTATATGATGAACACTAACCTCAGTTGTGGTATATGAACACTAAGAAAGATCCTAGCTGGGAGAGAACATAACCTGGTATATTCACAGTTAACCTATCTGATGAATACAAGTTTCTATGCTGATGTACAATGTTCTAAAATCAGTAGCCAGTTCAGGATCTGATGAACATGTCGATGACATCCTTCTGATGAACACAGTGGTATATATTGTTTGAGATCGATTATATCAAGGATGTTTGGAACTTTCATACTGAAATTGAACAGCAAAACTAAATGAAAGTTAGAAAAAACACTCTGAAAACCAAAACAAACAACAACAAAAATATCCGAAACAAACAAATTAAGCAAGTGAAATCATATAATTGAATGATTGTCGTACATACATGAAGACTCATCAACAAATGATAAAACAGAAATAAACAAATATAAACTGATGACAAATAAATGGTAACACATCTGATGAACACTAACCTGGTATGTATCCTATCTGATGAACACTAACCATACCTGATGAACACTAAATATCGTGATGAATACTAACCTGGAATACATCCGATCTGATGAACACTAACTTGGTATACATCCTATCTGATGAACACTAACCTGGTAAACATCTGATCTGATGAACACTAACCTGGTATACATCCTATCTGATTAATATTAAATTGGTATATATCCTCTCTGATGAACATTAACCTGGTATATATCCTCTCTGATCAACATTAACCTGGTCTATATCCTATCTGATGAACACTAACCTGGTCTATATCCTATCAAATGAACACTAACCTGGTATACATCCTATCTGATGAACACTAACCTGGTATACATCCTATCTGATGAACACTAACCTGGTATACATCCTATCTGATGAACACTAACCTGGTATACATCCTATCTGATGAACACTAACCTGGTATATATCTTCTCTGATCAACACTAACCTGGTCTATATCATATCTGATGAACACTAACGTGGTATACATCCTATCTGATGAACACTAACCTGGTATACATCCTATCTGATGAACACTAACCTGGTATACATCCTATCTGATGAATACTAACCTGGTATACATCCTATCTGATGAAAACTAACCTGGTCTATATCCTATCCGATAAACACTAACGTGGTATGCATCTTATCTGATGAACACTAACCTGGTATACATCCTATCTAACACTAACCTTTCTCCAGAAAACATGTTTTTCAGATCTGAGAAAGACGACAATGAATTTTTCATTCCGTTTAGGAAATCACTACCAACGTTCTGTGATGAACTGGAGTCGACATTATCTGGTATGTAATTCGGCTCTTTGGTTGGGTCCATCTCGTTGATATCATCGTCTTCAATGCTACTTTCAACTTCCTCAATCTCTTTATCTGCTCCATCTTTTGCCAATGCCTCGACTTCAATTACTTGGTTCATGACTATCAATGTCATTTCATTGCACTCTTCTATCCATTGTGGTATCGGCACAAGTCTGTCCAGATAAGGTGACGGATCCACATAATTATATTCCTCGTCAGGTAAGACAACACCTCCAGTTTTTTGCCTCATAGCTACGTGAATAAAATTTGGCGAACAGTTCGATCTTCCTGCTTTTCCTATCGTTTTACCTGCTGTGAAATATGTTCCGTATGAGGAAACAAATCTATCAGGTTCAACGTTATCTAGAACTATCTCAAACTGAACAAAATCGGCGTCCGATGGTTCAATAAGGAGCCGTGTTGACGATTTTTTGTACACCATCCCATTGACGGGACATCGCACCTAAAACACAACAAATCAAATATATAGATAAAACTTTACCATTGTGTACACTCTAAAATCATACAGTTTGAATACCAAAACCAGAATCTGCTAATTCAACATTCAATTTTCAAAAAATGAAAGTCCGGCAGAGATAGGTTCGTGGCAGCCCTCCTATTCCCTGCTACAACTTACATCAGCAAAGAAATATTCTTGTAATTTAACTACGATATGGAACACAGCATTTATTCATTTACCTCAAAATGATTTTTATAGATTTCAATAATTGCACCACTAGAGGATAAGAATATCTTGTATCCGCTTACTTTCGACCCTCTGTTGAGATGAACGTCCACTCCTGTGGTTTTGTACAATCCCGCAGTCGTTGTAGGCCAAACACCTTGACCACATTGTGCATTTTCTTCCCGTCGGCGTGTAGGAAATTTGATATTAAACTTCGGCCCAAATATCTTTTGAATCATTGATTTTGCTTTGATAATCCTGCAACGGAAAAAATTACAGGGTAAAAGAAAATATGAATTACACATGCCTTTAACATTGTTTTGGTAGATAACGTTTCCACAAACTGTAACGATCGTTGTGTTTGTTAAAGAACTTTTGATTTTTGATTTCCGCTCCTGCTTAATAATTAATCTAGGATTGGTGACCGTAAATAAGATAAATTTTGGTTAGAATTGTTTATTTAAAAATTGTACAAAACTGAGAATCTTTCAATCTGATAGTCTCATTAAGAAAGGTATAATGAATTAAGGATAATGGATTTCGGTCGGAAAACACCTTTACAACATCCTCATTTTGGTAAATATGATGTTTATGTAAACAAAACACAACATCGCCATTTTAACGACTGTTTCTCTTAACAAAATGTATTTACGAAATTGTAATTTTCCGTTTGTTTCATGATTATAACTACTCCCAATGAATTATTTATATAATTGATATCAACTAAATTATGTTATTGAAACACATAAAGGGTTAAACATGGTGTTGGCAAATAACACATACATATCTCTCAGAAATTCATATGTAGACTTGATCCCTTGAACGACATCCATGATTGAACGGAATGTGTCTATAACTGGTTTTGCAACCTCGAATAAAGTCATAAGTGGACCCATGGCATCTTTGAAGTCTTCAATAAGTTCGGCTTTTATCACATGCGCTTGCTCTTCCTATAAATATACACAATCACTTAAAACGTACCATCAGTCAATAATACATTTGATCGCCTTTAAATTTAGATCAAACTTAGAAAAGGATTTCATACTGACCATATGTTGTATACCGTCGGATACCGCCATGGTGAGAAGATCTGATGTGGAGCCCAGTATTCCGTCAGAACCAGGACTAGACAGTCGATCTATAAGCTCTTTCACTTCCGTTATTATGTTGTTAACTTCGTCACCAATGGTCATCCAGTACGGTGTTTTACCTTGGAAACCAATTTATAGCATTATAGTTCCTGGCATACAATACCATACACAATATGCACCAATATAAAAAGAAAATCTTACATGTATTTCTATCGATTGCAAAATAAATTACCTTTCAAGAAGAAACATGCGTCCAGTACTTGATTCTTGACATCTAAGAACATGGATATTGCCATTTTGATGCTGGAAATAATAAAGAATTATAATTTAGTTCTCTGATTAAGATTCAGTTTCGGTAACACAGCAAACATAACGTGATGTAGATGTTAATACATATGTAAACAAAAAGAAATAAAAGTAAAAAATTCTTTATCGTATTTGTTTATTCAACATGTCAAAAATACATATGAAGAAATTCATTATACAAAGTTAATTTCAACGGTCTGTTAATTGCATAATTATACTTTCTGCATACTTCATAATTGCCTGGGTCATTCCATTGATAGCCTGCGAGGGGTTGGAGAGTAAGGACTTAGTGGCAGAAACGATGGTGGCAATGGAATCCATGAACTGCTTTCCTATATATGGTAAAGTAACTGTGACTGCATCGACGACCGTCTAAGGACACGGAAACCGAAAAGTGAAAGTTTAGTACAGGATTTTTGAATAATCAATTACAATTAAGAGAAATATATATTTTTTAACATGTATTAACATATTTTTAAGGGATATCAAAATGGATATCATATTACAAGACATTTTTTAAAAAAAATTTGGTTCTATTCATCGTTAACCATACATGACTATAGAGTAAATACGTACATTGTAAAACCCCATGATATCGTCCCTGACGTCCTCTATAAACGTTTTAACTCGAACTACAAGTCGTTTCATATCGTCCAGCCAGGGTAGTCCTCCAAAGTCGGCCACCTTCCGCATAAGTGCTACAAACTTGTCTGCAGCGGACTTAATTACTTGTGGTAAATTCTTCACTGCCAGAACAAGACTATTAAACATCTTTTGAATTCCTCCATCCCTGAATGTCTGTACCATGTGTTTAAAGTTGTTGACTGCTTTTTTGATTGGGTCTACAGTGTTTTTCATGATGGTGTCAAAAATATTCACCAAGTCTTTGACGTTGTTTATGCCGAAATCCTACCAAAAGAAATATTCTATTAACGTTTGTAATTTTTTTTGCAATATTTAGACTTTATCTGTTTCTCATCGCGTTTTTAAGAATATTATCACGAGTGGCCTGTTTCATTATTAACAAAAGAATACTGCTGTCATAGTATTTAGGTGTTTGTTTGGTTAATACCATAAGAACTTTATAACATTTTTTCATTATGTCGCGAAACATTGAAACTGCATTTTTATAAAGCGAACGTTAAAAATGCCTTTACAACAAATAGACATTTAAATTGTATTATATAAGTTTAGACGTGTTAAGTACCTTGAGGACATTTAAGTCATAGCCGATGTGACCTTGAAAACATACTAAGGCCTTAAAGATGTCAACATGTTTATTCAGGAGACCACAATAAGCCTCTACAAAGGCTTTGTTGTAAGTGTCTATGAGAAAATGACCTTGAAGTGGCTCTGAAATTTAGAAAAAATACAAAACAGCTGCTAATCATACCAAATCAACGATGCACTCGAAGTAATGAAACTCAACAACAAAACATCAACATAAAATAGTCTATCCCTCCAACATTATAAACCGATAAATTTTATGGCTTGGAATAACATTTAAGAAAGACTTGTATTCTTTGACATTTCGCATCTGATTTCATGACAATGAAATAATTCTATCACAAAGCATTTGGAATTACCATATGTTATTTACATCTGTTACAAATCTTATTTACTTAGTTCTAATTCCATCCTGTTTCTGATGTTGAGGCCGAAACCGGCTCCAATGTCGGATGATCCGATAGTTTTTTCCCAATTTATGCCAGGTATCGTTATGGCTATTCGGAACCCACCCGTAAGGTCTATATCAATGATTCCACGTTTCAGCCTCATCAAAGCTGGGTACGAGTAGTTTCGTCTACAATATTTAAACATTTTGCGGCCAAAATTTTCGAACACATGTTATCAGTGATCTTATTATTGCGTTGATAAAGAAGAAAAAAGACATATAAACAATAAATAACAAAGTTGTGATATAAAGAAAGGACAGGAAAAAGATTATGTTGAATATATCTCTAAATAATCTCCACAATCCCGAAGTGTAAATAACAAATAATGTGTTCTGGTTAAGAGATTATATATCATTCTCTCGTGCTGAAAATAATTCATTATTGACCTTATTTCATACATATTTATTGTATGTAAGCATTACGTTAGAACCATTTCATGATGTTCAGGCTGTAGAATCCGTCCTCTAGGATGTTGGGAAAACGCTTTCAAAGAGATTTCTTTCACAAGGTCATGTTCATCGTACAAGGCAGTATGTAGAAGGGCATTGGCACTCTGAAGTCAGAAATTATTAGAAACTCAGAAATACCAAATACTTGTGTAAAACCATTCGTCCTTCAGCATTTGACTCCTAAGTGACATTATCGAAATGAAAACTTCATCTAAAACAGTTACCAAGAGAGGAAAAATGTAAATGTTTTCTTTCATATTAAGAATATCAAAATAACTGCACGAGTAATTAATCACGATTTGAAAAAGTCTGCAAATAGATATATGCATATTTTGCAGCAGTTCCTACGAATGCTAACGTTAAGAGATTAGGTGGTGGTGGAATATTTCCTTTGCGTTCACTACGAACCATGCAGTAGCACTCCTAGTTGACACGTATGCACAACGAAAATTCAGTGCCTCAGCAAGATAAGTTATCATTGAGAAATATCCATATATGGTTACGATCATGGGAAGGAGTTGGTGACTAAGATATAAAGCTTTTAGGATAATTTGAATACAGTGACGTTACATCGAGATATTTTCTGTATAGCATCTGTAAAGTACTGCATTATTTTACTTTGTTACACTTGTAGTGTCGCAAGCTAAGGACAGCTGCGCGCCTCCAGGCAGATGCTCCTTGGTTTGGTTGTAGATATGAGAGTATATGGTCCAAAGATCTCTCCATTCCTGTATTTCCCAAAGAGTTGATGAAGACCAATTTCGTGACGATATGGTTAAGTCTTGGACTATCGACCTCTGTAACGGATCTTTTCTTTCGTTTGTGAAGAAAAGGCGCCGATTTCGCTGAAGGAAGTTTTTAATGAATTTGATGTAATGATAAATGCCATTAACATCTGAAATAGTGCCATATATTTTTTTTCTGCTTTATATCAACATTTTGACCGAATGATACCACTCTACCTAAGATTGACTATCTTAAAATGATAACTTTTCAGTGATATTAGCCGATTGAGATTTCCGTACAAAAAAAAAAAAAAAAAAAAGTTAATGAATTATCTAAATTAAATTACGTTTGATACCGAATGCGTTTCAAGTATTTAAAAGAACAAATACTTCGTAATCAATATAGATGTAAATTCTCTTAATCAATTTTCTCCTTTCCATTTACATCAAATGACATACTTTCATTGTGATGTCCAAGCCAAGATTCCATCTTAGAAACAATGCTGTGTGCCCCTACTGGGTCCGTCTTACGTACGACTTTCGCAAGAGTCCCTAATGTCAAACAGGCCCTCCTCTGTGTCTTTGTTAGAACATCATTCCCTGATATCACAATGTTAAAACCTTAAAAATCCTTAAAATATTGTAAGCATAACAACGTTGTTAAGATTTGTTTCATAACAGTTGCTTTAAAAATACGAAAGAATAATGATTTTGATAACCTTTAGAGTAATTGAAATTTAAAGTTTACCATGAAACTCATTGTCCTTTCCAAAACAAAGATTTTCCACCTTCAAGATTAATTCCTGAAATGAAAAGACAAAAACATGTATAAACCGCAACCACACCGCCTGTTCCCAAAGGAACCGATACCAATAGCTCTTTTTACTCAGAGCTGGTTTATTATTGCCCTGATTTTATTGAATTTGAGTTTGGATTATGTTGACATTATCTTGATGTTTATTGGGTATCCAGAGCTGTAAAATAGGAGGTGAACGATATATCAATTATCTGTGCCATTGACTGATGCTTTTGTTCAATGCTATGATTTAAAATTATCACAGGATTTCATGTCCAAATTATATACGCGAAAACTAGAAAAATTAATAAAAATTAAGAAAGCAATGACAACTAACCGGTAGTGGGTTTTCCAAATGAATGAAAAGTAAGAGTATTCTGCAAGCCTCTTTTTCATTCGAAGTTCCGTTTATGGACAAATATCTAAGCAGCAGCTTCTGTGAAAATGGGTCTCCTCTTCCGCCAATGATATCCATAAACAGATAACGCTGATCAGCACACATCGTATTGTTGTTTTCGCAAACCATGCCCAACTCTCTTGTGGCTAACATTTGGTAGTCCTCTTCCTGTAAACCAAGGATCATGGACCGGAAGTGACGCACACATGCCGTTCTGTTCGCTGCATCTGTTGAAAGAACAGTAATTTCGACAGAATGACATGACCTAAGTATATACTTGATATACTACCATGCGTTGTTGTGTGGAAAACTCGTGTTTGGTAGGATGAAGGTAAATGTTAAGAAACCATATATCTTTATTAAGTAGAAAGCTACCAAAGCACAAGTAGTATTATCTTATCGTTTTTATACGTATAATACAATGTTGACCTTCGTGATACTCTGTGAAGTGGTATACAATCTCGTAGTGTTTGATATATGAATCTGACTGGTGATAATAAAGGCATGTGGTATTAAGTTCCTCAAGAGATCAGTGTGAAAACATTTGATTACTCACGTTTGTTGGTGGCATGGATTCGTATACATAAAAGTGTCGATTTCATTTCCTCATTAATTTCTTGAAGTGTTGTTTTATTTTGTTTCTGAAACAAAATAGTCAATGCTTAGATTTTTTTTTATAAAATATCACATTCAACCTATGGAATGGTCTTTTAATTTATGTCTGATATTCGTTATAACACTAACAAGAACCAGATAAGAAAAACTTCACTTGTGTTACTTTTTCTAGTGTACCTGATATTTCTTTTGCCAGGAATCTTACCTTTATCTGCAGCATCAGGGTAATTTGTGGCAAGCGCAATAGGATAAGATGAAAAAAAAAACAAATTGAAGTTAATCACAATGTTATCCTTCACATCAAGGTATGAGCGATATATTTGTACAATTCCTAATTGGAATTTTAAGATAGATAAAACATTCCCAGAATATTTAAATAAGGTTAGAATTATCAGACAATTACAATTGTATTTCGTTGTAGTGTAAATTAATTGGTTAACTAGTTTTGACGCTATTCTACTGGTTATAGGTTTTATATAAACAAGTTTTATGTTTCTAGATAAATACGTACAAATTTGACAAATATGCTGTCGTTCATCAATGTATTTAGGCTAGCACTGTTGTCCAATTCTACATCATGTGGTCTGTAAGAAAAAACGAAAAACATGTTCGGAAGGTGAAGCAGGGTTTCTTAACAGAGGTAAGGTTTCATCTGATTAGAGTGGTGATGTTTCCTTACATAACACCATAACACCATACATACCAGTCATCTCAGACATATTCACTCCACTCGGATGGTTGGATGGCACAGTTGTAATGCACCCACCTTTCACGTAGTTGTTCGGGGTCCTATTTCCCTCTCAGAAGGTAAGGGGTAACCTACCCGACTAAATGGGTTTTAACCTACATCCGGGCCAGCAAGACAGCAAGAGTGATACGTTCATGTTTTAATTTTCTTGTTTCGCAATTTCAGTTACTCCTGGGTTAACAGAGCTTCTTATGCCATGCATACACACACACACAAGCAAACAGCCTCCCTCACAAACACACGCGAACACTCAGACATATAATAAATTTACATCGGATGATAAATCAAAGAAATAAGTGTTTATACCGTTTCTTTGTTAGTCTCAGCTTGGAAACTGCAGTTGATGAAATACGCGGAAAATCTGAAATTGGAAAAGTGATATAATAACGATTAGCGTGTGTAAAATTTTAAATGTATTTGTTTTCATTTCAGTATGGTTGTTATTACTTTTTCTATTTTCCGAGTTAACTTCGGTGAGTAATGATCAGATTTAAAAATACATTTACCTCCTGATGACCAATCGTGTATCGAGGCGGCATTTACTGCATTGGTACTGAAAAAAAGTGTGTAGATGACAACATCATAACGATTTACATATAAGGACGTACTGACAACAAATTATATCTTTCTTCAGACTTATTTAGTCATTATCAAAAATAAAAATAACCCGTAGCTTTTGCATAATCTGATGACGGCAATTCTAGCCGGAACATGTTAACATTTTGATACACAATGGAAACTAAATGCTGTTTTTGTTTGTTTGTTTTCCCTTATTTTTGTATGAGAATAGCGCTGTAATTACTGCATTAGTTCTGAAATATTTAAATATGAAATACATTTCATATCTTGTCGTTTTGTAGTGATATGAGATTATGTGACATTTTGTAAATGCTTGACGAAGTCCTATAAACACGTGATGTTGAACATACATCGCTTTTGTATTGTCATGAAATATACACTTGTGCTTTGGAGATTTGGCACGCATATAGTTTTTCTTAAGGTAAACCTCTGTTCACGTTTCACTATACCATTATTAGTCTCTATTTGTTGTTCAGCCATAGGGCAATTTTGAATTTACAAAATGTTCATAAATGGACATATCACCTCGTTATGCATAGGATGGTTTAGAAAATGAATTATGTTAAGTATATGCTTACCGTAAATTCTTGGGATCAGATTGGTGGAGTTTAATGGTATCATCTGCTAAAACGTATTTCACCGTTCCGAGACTATTGTAATGCATGGTCTAAATGAATTCAAAAATTGTACGTTAATTGTCGTTTCCTCACTCAGATATCTTTAGGTTCCATGAATTATTGCAGTTTTGATCATATTGTCATCCTTCCATTTTCATACATTATATACCAGCTAATATCAAGGTTTAGTTGACAAAGTACGACAGCTTTATTACAACTTTACTTCATGAATTATCTGTAAATGATCCTGAAAGCATCCTTTTGGTTAAATTTCTGGATATTGTGATATCTAGACAATGAAACTATAGTCAATATGATTATCTATTGACCAACACCTCAATCCATTTCTTCTTATCCACAACCCAGTTAGTATCTCACCATTTTATTCATTTTACCTTGTTGTGATTTCTGAGTACACTGTCACTACTGTTGTGTACTCGTCTCAATATCATTCCCTCAGAACCACGTGACACACGATACTCGTGTTCTAAATCACCGGTATGGTCCACTTCACGGTTTACATATACGCGGGGATGATTCTTGTGTATCTGCAAATTTATGATAGATATAACTATTAAATACATCAGGATGCTAATTTTTGTTTAAATGAAATATAAAATGTCATTACTAAATAAAGGTGAAAGGTTGAATTTTATATCACTGATGTAGGTTAAATAAACGAGAGAAAAGAACAGCTTAACACTCAGAAAACAGTTAGTTACAGATACGAAAACAATTTTGCATCAGGACACTTAACCTCCGAAAATATTCTGTAGAATTGTACTGATGCCAAGCATACAATTTCAGCGTACGCAAAACATTTCATTGTTAAGCGTTTACAACGTGATAAACCAGCATGTGTGACGTACGTTAGCCTTAGCTGACAGAGTACTGGTCAGTACTTTCTTCAGAGCTATCACTTCGTCGTCATCTGCGTGATCATAGTGTACAATAGCAACGGTGCCGTCATCATTCAACCGGAAATAAAACCTGTCGACAAGTGTATTGAAAGAACAGATCACCTCTGTCCATTTCTAGCGAAATATATTTTCAAAGACACTTATGAAATTATATGTGACCAATTCAGTCCTCTACAATGTCTTTATACATTTTATGTAGACGTATTCATTTTATTCAGTTTCCGTTTGTAAGCATGTCCTGGAATTTTATTTTATTCTAGCCGTCTGACTTTAGAAGGTCTTTGCGACAGAGATTGTACTAACAACACACCAGTGAAAAGTACATCTCAATGTGAAAACAGAATTACATACAATAGAGCACAATATGACTCTAACCTCATCATACATCATTGTTCTGCGACTTGCCAGTAATACTAATTGCCTAAATAATTTAAATCTATGTAGCGACTGAAAAAAATCGAAAATAACAGAAACGATTATTAAAATCAGACTAGGAGGTGAATTAGTCCCTAAATTCGAATAATTTTAATATCGTAAACTTTGAATAGAATAACCCAGGTGTTACTGCTGAAATCGATATATATATATATGTATTTAATATGAGTAAATACTAACAACGGAAAGCGTTGATAACTACCTTTTAGATAAGTTCCATTGTTGGGGGTTTTCAGCAACTGGAAAATTGGAATATTTCAGTAATATATCCTTTTTCAATCATATACGGAACTATATCATACTTTGTAGATCGTAAACAAGCATTTGTATCAAATACCAGACCTTGTTTGTTTTCGGGATTATACTAATATGAATTATACATGTTTAATTTGAATTAAAATAGTACCAAAATTGAGAATTATGAAAAAATCATGACGATTCCTTTTGATAGTCGTTTGTACAATAAATATGTATTCTAATTTCTTAACATTATATGAACATTATTGAACACAATTTAATGCATTGCAATACATATTTCAAAAACATTGTATCAATTCATCACTTTGATTAAGAAAATCTTTCACCCGCTTTGGGGTTAGATAGGGGGATCTCAACCCTGGGTGAGGGGGGGGGGTGGAGTTATTAAGTTGTCAAACACGGGTTCTTGCCGAGTATTTGACAGCTTAATAATTCCCCCGAGGTTTGAGATCCCCCTATCTCATCCCAAAGGGGGTGAATGGTTATTTGTCTCTTACCCTGTTTCCCTGCTGAGTGTGAAGACGAAATAGAAACGTGGACAGCGTTTAAATATGTAGTGACGAGACCGTCAGAACCGCGTCACACATTATTGTGATATCCCGCCCACATTATGATTCCCATTAACGGTACAGTTAAACATAAAAATGCATAATATTCATTATATACAACCAATTTTAATGTGAAAGTATTGATCAGATGGCTTCAATATATATATATATATAATTAACACAGATCATCAAATCGATACTTTGAAATGACGTCACGTGATCCATGTCCCTTGCGTTCATTCACTTTTGCTATCGGTGTCAGACAAAGTTACGCGCGCACGAGGCCTCCCGAAATTTCTTTCTTTCCAATTGGCTTAAAAAGTACTTTGAATAACTCCCTATTTGCCTATTACGAACATAGTTTTCCAAATAAACTTTCCGTGTATATTTCCGTAGAGATAGCAGACGAACTAGTGTATGTGTGTGACCTTATTAGGCATAGTAAAAGTAGTTTCACTTCCGGGTAAGGATAGTGACGTCACATAATTGTTAAGAAGGTGCACAGAGCGCGTATAGCTTGTCTCGCCCTAGGGTGAGATAAGGAAATTTCACACCGGTAAAACGTGTGAATATCCCCGTCCAGGTAAGAGAAAAAGTTTTTTCGTCATCCTTTTCCTTATCTATTTTTTATTAATCAACATATTTTGTACTTAAGAATCTATGGGTTTGTGGTATAAATAAATGATCAAGAAATAGATTAAGGTCTACTCACTATAACCATCCTCTGAGTGTTGAACAAAGCTATCCAGCATCAATGAGTGTACATTCTCTGATGAGTGGTTCACAGGTCGAATGCGGAACTGATTAATAATAAAGATATACTTTTGACATTCGTTCATGTATATGTGTATGTAGATTGGGCATTTGGTTAGGACTCATGAAAACAACAAAGAACATACCGACCTTTTAACGTAATTCAGATACGAATTCGGTGAAACAGTGACGATGTAAGAGGAAAATAAAAATAAACACTTCTGAAACTTCTGAGACTTCTGAGGCTCGGAAAAAAACGTACAAGGAGAATGTGTTCACGTGTTCAGGGAGAGTAAGTGCAATCTGCTTCATCGACGACACCCACCATGTAAATCTTGGTCAATCCAAGTAAGTAATGTCACGTTCTAAATGAAAAGAAGGTAAACAACAACGGAACCACCAAGCAAACTAACGAGTATTAAACACGTTCAGTTTCATATCGTGCATATAACATTTCTAAATGAGATAATTGCCACGGCCATACAACTTCCAAATAATCGGCGTCAACCTGCATTTCTCGAAACCAAATATTGTGAATTTGTCTCACAGTTGACGATTTCTCGCCAAAAAAATCGTGATACTGTGAACAGGCCCAAGAATATCGGATCAGCTGCGACATACCAACAACAAAGATTCTGAATGTAGGAATACTGCTTATTAGAAATTGGTCGGATGGCGAAGTGGTAACGTACTCGCCTTTCACCTAGCCGTCCGGGGTTCGACTCCTGGAACGGCCGTGAAAAGGTAAGGGTAACCTGCCCGACTACGTGGGTTTTCCCGGGTACTCCAGTTTCCTTCGACAGTAAGACCCCTCACGCGCTTACATCCGGGCCAACAAGCGTGATTAGTATAAATTGAAATAACTTGTTTCGTTAATGTTGTAAAATAAATATTGTTTGTATTTTTTTGGTCGTAAAGTGATGCATACCAAAGTCTTTCCTTCATTATAGTAGTAAATGATGCATACCAAAGTCTTACCTTCATTAAGGTAGTAAATTGACGTATACCAAAGTCTTACCTTCATTATCGTGGTAAAATGACGTATACCAAAGTCTTACCTTCATTATGGTAGTGAAGTGATGCATACCAAACAGGTCTGACCTCGAGGAATAGGTATAGAAATGGTCGAAACCCTTCTCGAAGTAATAAAACATCCCTGGCTGTACAAGGCAGCATACCACTAGGGTAAGATACCCTGGGTGTAGGGAGCCCATTATCCAAGACTTTGTAAGGGCTCGACTGTCCACCTCTCCTACAGGAAACCACGCTGATCACCTTTACAAATAGTTATGTTGTAATAGCTGGGTTGTTGTATCAGGTGGGCGGGGCCTACGGTAACCAATGCCTTCTTTTACAAGTGTATAGAGCATAACCCAAATCTGTTGGCTCATATTTCTGTTTTATGGGCTGTGTTTACAGCAATACATGACTTGATAAAATAGACTAAGACATCACTATCGTGAATCATTCTGCCGAGTAATAAATTCAGTGCTCTACATGTGCATTCTCTGCATTTAATTGGAGAATAGTTAAACAAACGTTGTCAGTTAAGCTCAAGGGCTATAAACGATCGATATTTTTCTCAATCTTAGAACTTTGTTTGATATAAGTCCTGGTGTTTTCTGTCATTCATGGATACCGCTTACAGTTACTATCAGCACTATGGTACATGATACATGGAAACTTCGTATGAAGATGAATCCTGTTCGTATGATTATAGTGGTAGTGGCCAGCCTTTTAATTCCGTCTGTCTGTAGTGAACACTTCCGAGAGGAGTTTACGTATCTGACCGATACAGCGGACACCGTGTCTATTGATTCTACAGGCAAAATAAGGTCTATTATCGACTTAGACGACCGACACATTGTCAAGGTAAGAACATTTCTTCTTATAGATAGTTAAAATGTTGTTTACACGAGAATGCCGACATCATTGTAATATTCCCCCAGGAAGGAAATCTAAACACTTCTCTATTACCGTCTACGTAATGTCGCTTTGGGCAGAACGTAGCACTAAAAAACTGATAAAATGATAAAATTTACCGTCAGAAAATAGTATGAAAATTTATATCTTGTTGTATACTTTATATAGCAAAGAGTTTTTCTTGTGGCGGCAATAAGTTTGATAAGAAACAAAACAAAAAATACAAACCCACCCAAAGAAAATGGGAATGATTAGAAAAAATAAGTTAAATAAATAATAAAAAACAAAACCATAAAAAAAACTAAACAAAGAACAAAAAGCATAGCAGGTCATGATATAATATATAGTGCCGCTCACAAGAGGAAAAGATGCGCATGCGTATGACGCATTTCCCGTGCTTATTTATGTAAGACAATCATCATAATTGTCTCGATTTCATGAAAGGTGAGGACATATCATACAATCGAGAAACTTCACAATAATTGCCTTGACATTTTCAACTGTCTCAAGTTCTTAGTTATCAACAGGTGTTATCAGAAAGTGTATTTTTTTTTATACTTTTCTTTATACACTTGACTGACTCGCAATGGATTCAAAGGGAAATTTTAACTAGATGTAGGACCACGTGCTGCATAATCGGAATTCCCTGATTTTGAGATAACAAATTCTAAAGAAAATATGATAAGAAACACCTTCTAGTGTGTCATCTCTTTTCAACATCATCTCTGTACTTGACTTCTAATTCTTATGTATCGTATTGTGTAAAACTACACGGAAGTATTAATATAACATGACTACTATATTCAATGGGTACGATATGTATTCAGTGATATTTGAACTGCCGCCCAAATGACATAGTTATTCAAGCATTTCAACTTTATTCTAAACCTCGTGCGCAGAAAAATGTATCTGACGACAGCACATTAAATATCGGTATTATAGACATAGTTCGACACTAAAACTACTGCTTTAGTAATGTTACAGTCTGTCCTTATTTTGTTATATATTAAGATTGATCCCGAAAATATGAAATATTCTTAACCATTTACTTTCTTTTAATCATAAAGCGGATAAAATGTTCAGACCATAGAATTTCGGTGGCCTTAATTGAGTACGAACATGTCAGTCTATCCTGGACGACTGGTGATCTCGTCGTAGGAAGTTCTACACAAACATGCGCGACCGGAAGTATCCTGCCCAATTCTGACGTCAGGGGTATCTTTGCTAAAATAGACGTTATAGAGCGTTTCCAGCGACACGTGGAGTTGTATGTTACACAGGCAGAGTAAGACAGCTTTTGTATTGTATGCTTTATATTGTAATTAGGGCATTGGGAATAACAGAAAAAATATCACAATGGTCATTATCTAAAAAATGTAACAATAAATTCTTCTGATCAATGATCTCTTATTACTTTACGTAGCAAAGGTGGTAGTTAGACTGATTACTGATCAAACTCACTCCGTAGAACTGTAACTTATATTGATTTATATCTAGACTTGGTTGTACAACTTAAACTGATATTGATTTATATCTAGACATGGTTGTACAACTTAAACTGATATTGATTTATATCTAGACTTGGATGTACAACTAAAACTGATATTGATTTATATCTAGACTTGGATGTACAACTGAAACTGACATTGATGTATACCTAGATTAGCTTGTACAACTTAAACTAACGTTAATTTATATCTAGACTTGGTTATACAACTTAAACTGATATTGATTTATATCTAGACTTGGTTATACAACTTAAACTGACATTGATTTATATCTAGACATGGTTGTACAACTTAAACTGACATTGATTTATATCTAGACATGGTTGTACAACTTAAACTGATATTGATTTATATCTAGACTTGGTTATACAACTTAAACTGATATTGATTTATATCTAGACTTGGTTATACAACTTAAACTGACATTGATTTATATCTAGACATGGTTGTACAACTTAAACTGATATTGATTTATATCTAGACTTGGATGTACAACTGAAACTGACATTGATGTATACCTAGATTAGCTTGTACAACTTAAACTAACGTTAATTTATATCTAGACTTGGTTGTACAACTTAAACTGATATTGATTGATATCTAGACATGGTTGTACAACTTAAACTGACATTGATTTATATCTAGACATGGTTGAACAACTTAAACTGACATTGATTTATATCTAGACATGGTTGTACAACTTAAACTGATATTGATTTATATCTAGACTTGGTTATACAACTTAAACTGATATTGATTTATATCTAGACTTGGTTGTACAACTTAAACTAACGTTGATTTATATCTAGACATGGTTGTACAACTTAAACTGATATTGATTTATATCTAGACTTGGTTGTACAACTTGGATTTATATCTAGACATGGTTGTACAACTTAAACTGATATTGATTTATATCTAGACATGCTTATACAACTTAAACTGACATTGATTTATATCTAGACATGCTTATACAACTTAAACTGACATTGATTTATATCTAGACATGCTTATACAACTTAAACTGATATTGATTTATATCTAGACATGCTTATACAACTTAAACTGACATTGATTTATATCTAGACATGGTTGTACAACTTAAACTGATATTGATTTATATCTAGACATGCTTATACAACTGAAACTGATATTGATTTATATCTAGACTTGGTTGTACAACTTAAACTGATATTGATTTATATATAGACTTGGTTGTACAACTGTAACCGACATTGATGTATATATAGACTTGGTTGTACAACTGAAACTGATATTGATTGATATCGAATGAAATTATTCAGTTTATTTCGCAATTTGAAAAGTAGGAAGCGATGTATAATGGTAAATAGATTGAAATTACTGGTAAAAACCTCAATTGGTTACATATCTAGGGCGATTGAACTGATCGAAGAAGCTGAAATATTTATATCAGTAAACACTGAGGATCCACCAGCAGCCGTGAAAACACGTAAAAAACGTCATATGTCGAACGTTCTGAAGGATCTTCTCAGCGACATTGACTGGAACAACACCATGGATACGCAAATTCCATTTAACAGAGACAACGTAGCAATACATTTAAGTAAGCCATCCGGTGCTCCCCAAGCAGTCCTTAACACAGACAGAGCTGAGAACGGTGACCGGAGTACAACAAACGATTTTGTATTCACATGTTCAGACTGCAAAGGGACGACTGATCTTAAGTATAAATTGTATGTGTTTTCATGACTAGTTTTAGTCCACCTTATCGTAAAGTAAACACTTTCAAGCACATTTAATTTCTTAATAAGTACAAGTCTTTAAAATTTATCAGATCATTTTTAGCGAATATTGTGTTATTACTGATCAAGAATTTCCATTTTCCATGAAATCTTTGTTGATGTGTTTAGCATATAAAACGTATTTAGTTTTATATCAAATCAAAATGCAGTTGAAATATCAATTTTGAGATCATTACTAATTTACATGTTTATCACAGCAACATTTCTTGATTAACAAAAACGTCATATTGAAATCCTACCTGGCATTTCCAGACGAGTCAAAATCGACAAAGTCATGAACAAGCCAGTTATCCGGGTATTCCAAACAGAGGTAAAGTTATTAAGTATAATAAAAAACACACATTGAAATCGACAAAATCATGAACAAGCCAGTTATAAGAGTGCTCCAAACAGAGGTAAAGTTATTAAGTATAATAAATAAACACCTATCAAAATCTCTATGTGTAAAGAAAGATAACTTCTCTTTTATTTTCATATCTCATTGAATTTGAAATCAAAGTAAGTGACATATTAATAATAGCGTCGCAAAAACCTCATCCATAGCTTTTGTTTTGTTTTTGTTTTGTTCCCCCCCCCCCTTTTTTTTTTTCTTTTCCCCTTTGCTTTAGTTGCTGTTGATCCTTTTTCATTATCATATGAACATTTTCTCACTATTGACTGCTAGGTTGACGGAGAATTTAGAGGACAGTACAACTTTAACTCGTCAGCTGAAACCAACATGACATTCAGCTACGACGGACCACTTTGGAAAACAGAACCAGCAATTTACCTTAAGGTTCCCATCGCTACATTTGCTCGACTTCCGATGGTTGAGGTCATTGTTAAAGCCCACACCGAGGCTTTCCTTGCCGTTAACATGACAACACTACAACCGTTCCGGATCGCTCATAACATAACCACCAGAGGGAATTATGTATACTGTGAGTATACGGAAATATTCGTTAAAAAACTCTGGTCTTCATTTGTGAGAATATGTTTCGCCTTTCTCGATAATCGAAACGTTCTGGTGTTTGTCACGATATATCCACAAGTATGTAGAATATCACATTAATTTACATCACAAAACGTGTCACAGAAAAAGAATGATCAAGGTGTCTTATCATAGTAATACAAACTTACATAATTCATACAGCAAAAAAATGGTATCCTAATTTGTTTAATAATTTATGAACCGATCTTCGAAATCGAATATTCTATTAATACACATTTTCATATCATAACATTTCAATTATAATTCAGCGGATGAAATACAAGATGGTGAACCTACAGGCGCTATGTCATTTCCAGAGTGGACAACTTCGGGGACAACATCATTATTGGACACCAATGAGATGTTTAGCCTCCACGCAATAGTAACACACAAGGCAAGGACGGTTTAAAATATAAAACATGGATTACCTGTCTATTAGATGTAATAAAACGTTAGAATTTTATAAGTACACATTACCTGCGTTAAGGAAATACGTCCTTAGTTCCGAGAGGCTTCCGTAAGATGAGAATTATAAGACACTATGAAATACCATACTAGGATTGTCAGATGTCGCAGTTCTAACGTATCCGCCTTTCATTGTTAAGCCCGGGGTTCGATTTCCGGAAAGGAAGTGACAAGGTATAGAGTTTCTTCCAACATTAAGACCCCTTGCACTCTTCCATCCAGGCCAACACGAGCGATTCATTTAAGATGGAAAAGCGTGTTTCGCAAAAAAAAATAAATAAAGATTATTTTTGAATACTATAAAAATATGGGAAAACATTCTTTATGCAAAACATACAATAGCCAACCTACAATTCAAATCTATCTTTACCTACCGTCGTTTCTTAATTAGACGGGATGGTATGTTTGTATGTGCAATATTAGATTACTATAATCTGATGTTTTTTCTGGATTTGCCGACATATTTCGAATCAAATATTACATATTAAGGACATTTTATCATACTTATCTAATCAAAATTTATTCCCATGAAAAACATTTAACGGTATATCGATATGTGGAAGACACGTTTAGCGAAGGAATGCCGTCTCACACATACCCCAACACATTAATATCAAGTCTTTTATAGAATCACCCAGTATCAAAACAACTGTAACATCTGTAGTCTTAATACAGTTTTATTTTTGTTTATACCTTATACCTTAGATAATGCATCACTATGCATTGATGAAAGATTTCTCCTATTTCAGCGCAGTGTTCCTTTTCATTTCTGCAAATTTTGAAATATTTGTCTTATTCAATTTTCTTTATACTTTTTTTTCAAGAATCTCCGAGTATTTTTTTCTGTCGTTCATATTTTGCCCAAGTTTTGCTTCATTTTTGAGTTTGGATCATGATTATGTTGACATGTTGGTATTTTCTTGTTGTTTTATGTATCTCCCAATTAAAAACAGATTCATCTGAAGCCATACATTGGATGGTCCCTTCGTGATATCACCATGGATTTCGGCACACCGTATGAAATACTGTAAGATATTTTATATAATTTTAGATAAAATGACCCGTTAATAAATTCAATAGCTTGAGAAAAAATTATTTGCCTACAATTTACCTACGTTTAGTATTGAATTTTGTCTTTTTTCAGATTGCATCAACACCTGGAGACTGATTCGAGTGTTACAGATACGACATACTGTACTAGCAGTGTGTCTGAAATAACAGGGTCCTGGAACCACATCACCAACACACTTGACGTTGAGGCGTTCGACATACCTATTTGGTATTGTGCATCTTAATATAACTTTTGACCAAAACTACACTTATTATAATATAGATATGACAGCTTAATCTTCCTTATGTAAAGAACATCAATATCAGCGACTCTTAACTATTAAATTCAATATTTGGAGATAATAATTTTAATTTCCGATAAGCGTGATCCCATCTTTCTGGTGTTGAGTTACCTACCATACAATGACGTTTCTGTGTTATCATGGTTTCCGAATGTTCATATCACTTAAGTTTGTACTAACAGACAACAGATAAGTGATTTCGCCATGATGTTAGTTTGCTACGTTGTATATTTTCATTTAATATTTAATCATCAAATTTAATTGGAAAGCTTATTTTTTATATCGAAATGATGCTTTCAGTATTGATTCTCTCGGTACATGTATTTGTATTTCAAGGGATGTCATTTTAGAACAAGGACAGAAAGCTAATACATCGATATATAAAAAGGAAATAGCGAAGACATGTCGAGCAAATTGTGCTGATCCTATTATCACCGACCAAAAAGAATTATCTATGGAGGCCGTATGTGGTGACGCGGAAACACCGATTTACAGACACAGCATTAACTTCGACAGGTGGGATTTTAGTATTAGGACTTGATTTCAAAAGCAAAAAAAAATGATGAACGTTGGAATTGACATGCTCGGATTACGAAGAAATCGCAGATTGGATTGCTTATCAATAATCAATTTCATAATTACTTTAATCATTAGTTTACTTAATTAATAGATTAATAGATGAAAAACTCAATCTCCTTTCTGTTGATAAGGAACATCCATTATATAAAAAGTCAGACATTTCAATTTGAGTTATAATTACAGTCGAACCTCGTTATTTCGACCACGACGAGACCACAAATCAACTTCGAGATAACCGAGTGTTGGATTTAAGTGAGTTCGAATGTTTAGTGTAAAGGTAGACAGGTACCGACGAAGTGTTTCGAATTAAATAGGGTTTTAAATTCAAACGAGATCAAGATACGAAGTTCGACTGAATATGCTCGTTCAGAATTTGCTATTCGCGAAATTCAGTTTATGGACAAAATATCACAAAATGCTTCAAAATGTTTTCCACTTCGTACACTGAAGTCTACATGCATCCATTTATCGTAGACTCACAGAGCTTTTTGGGAATCTCATAACGTTTCCGGACACAGCATCTCAATCAGAGTGGTGTGGTCAACCTGGGGTGTTGTGTACACGGTGCGAGAATCAAGGGAGTACGATATGCGCAAATCGACTTCTAAACGCACAAATGGCATCAACCATCACCAGGCTTGCTAAATTCGTGCAGTCAGAATGGCCAGATCGTAAGTAAATTACAATATATCCTGGGAATATATATAATTCAGTTAAGACCTGCAATACCATATCTTAAATGCATGAACATATTATTATCATAATGATGTAATTTGACTTACTAATCATAGCACGTACATTTAGTTGTTCCGTACAGTGATATCAAATGTAAAACATGCTTTGTTAACATCATCAATATTCCAGGTAATCTTATCCTTCAAGAAGGCTGGAGCGAGCCGACGTCTATATACCCGGACGGTAAATATGGCAACATGTCGTTGTTTTATGAAGGTCGCGCCGCAAAAGTTGGAGTCAGTGTACCACTAACATTATCAAACGAGAGCAATTCGCTCGAAGGAAGCCAGCAAATCGTTCATCGACTCCTTGAACTAGCATCATGTTCCGGGTTTACATATTATGAAATATCACCAGGAACTGACAAAAATATAATTGATACGTGCTTGAAGAGACCTGTAGCCCGTAGAAGGAGGAAAAAGAGGGAAGCGTCAAGAAAAGAACTTGAGGACGCCGAAAGACAAGAGTTTCTTGACAAATTGGCAAATTTGGGTATGCATGCGTCATAGTTTATTGATGAAAAATATTGATAAAACTAAATAACAAATCATTATAAAAATATATACATGAAACGCACACATATTTGCTATTTTTGTTAATTTTCCAACATAGATACATTTTATGATTAGCATTTTCCTCTCAGACCGCGATTACTAACTTGTTGACACTCTAATAAAACCTTGTATTACAGCTCTAAAATCGACGCCTACTCCAACGTCCCATTTCGATAGTCACTCTACATATCCTAAGGACAAAGAGGCCATTGCTATTCTTGGTCCTGTTGACGAGGTTTTCACTGTAGATAATAACGCACAGATGATGAGGTACAATGCATACATTAACATTTAATATTTAACTCAGGTTTAAAAAGTGTAAATCACATCTGCATTGAAACCTACCTAGTATAACCTTTACATAATTATGTAAGTATCGAACAGTAGGAATATTTTTATATTGATAATACTCTATGTATTTTAAACAGTAAACGATTTACCGAATGCACGAACGTTTAATAGATTTAGGAAAAACATATCTTTTCAATATTATATTACGCTAACTGCCATTCATATCGACATGAACAGCAAGCTCCTCTACAACCAAAATTCATATAGATTCGTTTTCTATTTCAGAATGATACAGTATTCATCAGCTGATGTGAGCTTTGCCCGTGAGGGTCCGGAGGATTCTGCCTGTGGTACAGATACCAGACGTTGTAAGGATTGTAAGACGTACGATAAATCCGATGACCCTTGGGACTGGTGCCTGACTCGAACAATGACCCCTAGAATGGCTCTTAGACTCCGACGACTTGCAATTCTCAGTAAACATCAACGTAAGTGATTCACTATTTGCATCATGTGTCATCTTAAAACTATAGATAAGTACTTTAAAAATTATAATAATATTGTAGTTCTCAAAGTAAACCATAGAAAACAAACAAATTGTACTATTGGAGATAATTGACCTGGTCCTCTTTGTGGTCCTTATTCGTGTATATCAATTTATCCATGATGCCTTCTAAACCATAAAACGTAAGATTAAGATGATCAAATTTCATTTCTCATATCTTTTTGATGCTATAACTGTGACATTAGGTAGGTAAATAGTCGAATATTTCTGATCGTTACATTCATCAAGACTGTAATGTATTTGTAATTGATATTATTTCATCCAGTGGATGTAATAGTGCCACAGGAGCTGGATGAAGCCGACATAATGATATATGGGAACGTTGGCAGGTAATTACATTATAAGGTACAACTACCGCAAAAGATAAGATATATCAGAATAAATCGCATCTATATAGCTAGAACGTGTATACACAAATCATTTCTCTTTTGATCATCGTGTTCTTATAACTGAGGTAATCAAAATAAAGCGTCGATTAAGATCAAAATTTGCCACTTTCAATATGAAAAGCTGGAATCTGAATGACAAGATTGCAAGTCCGATTCTCTCCACTAGAAAACCCTTACTAAATGACTGCTGAAAATATGTTGTACATCCAAACTTAAAGTATTATTAAAACAACTTGTGCCGTTGATTTGAATTTGATGTACCTGTTTTATACTGTTTAGTTACATGACATACATTTAAATGAGCATTTAGGCGTACAGTGACATGTCTATATGAAGACGAAATGCCACAATATCCAGTCTTATTTATCAATTTAGTATAAAGGAATGTACTCGATTTGAATTAAGTTTCTGATGTTGAATGTTTTAGAAGTCAAAGTCTGGCGATGCTCTACTTTCAAATTTATTTTGCTGTTCATTTGACAGAGCATTGCGCTTTGAAACGACGAATTCAACGTTCTCCCCGATATCGCTTGCCAACCTAGCGATTGCTGCAGGGTTCGACTTCATTGCTCTTTCCGGTACTTCATATGTTGACGTATTTGTACGAGATCAAGCGGGATACTGGGCCACTCTAGAGATCTATCCACGAGTCAGTATGTTACATGTCAATCCAGCAACTTCTGAAATAGATGACTATAAACCAATTTATGTGAAAAAGATTTCTGCCGAAACCATTCCTGGCATCGTCGATGGCATCAACGAAAAGCTACCCATGTCAGATAATTACATCGTCTCAGATTTCAAACCATTCGGAAGACGCTATTTCCGAATTGACGTGCGATTGATAGAATGCTTGGAAGAAGTCACCAGTGATTTAGGCAGCAAGTTGCGAATTCTAGCGGGCTACAAAACAAGTTCCATGAATGACGAGAACATCGAAGAGAGGCACGAGGAGGAGAAGATATTTTACACCCGAGGTCAAGCCGTGCAAATATCGGGGTATATGATCGATGATGGTACACATTTTGACCTTAATGTTATAGTATCCTCGCTGATAAAGAGTTGTGTACCTGCTCTCAGCCTAAAACAGATGGTATTGAGTATCGGCTGTCATGCTACATTTATCTATGTTGATATAAGGGAGAAGAATTCGGATATCTCTGTCAATTTCTGGAATGAAGGAAATGACCAATTATATATGTTCACCAAAAATTTGGTAGACATTCATCAAAAAGGTAAAATTTCATTTGTGACTTATCTTGTAAAAATATCCTGTGAAACTTAATTAAACTCAGGTTTCAAATATTTTGAGCTGTGCAACTGAGCCAAATATTTTAAAACTGATACCATGCTATGTGAAAACACAAATACAAGTAAATTATCACGTCGGAGTTCCTGATAGCGTGTTTCAATTTTATGAATTTGTTTGATTTGTAGAGTAACCGATAACATAACGTTATCGTCACGAAAATAGAACATTTATATTTGTCAAGAATCTTACATTTTCTTTGAACAGGAGGCGTTCTTGTGCAAAGCAAAAATACTGGCACAAAATGTGCAGAACATCCAATGGGAACAGATGCGTTCTATATCAAATATGGAGACAGGTACAAATACACATCAAATGGAAATTTATCAATATACGGCAATTATGTGTCAAATGTGGCAAGGGAGGTAATGTGTAGAAAGTTAACAGCATTAACAAGATCATATGATAAAATATATAGGATGACGACCATCGATACAGATCATAGATGATAAATTGTTTGATATCAATAATGATGTTTATTATTTTGATATTTATCAAGGACGGAAGAGAGTGAAACGGACTATAATTGGATCAATTTTATTAATTAATGGATCTGTTTTTTATTCGCTCATTATTGTGATGTCTTTTTTTTCTATTTATTGTTATTTATCTATCTATCAATATTGTTCTAAATATCATTTTTTACAATTTTAATCCATTTTGTAAATAGTGAAATTTGGAACACTTTGAAAAAACATTTTTTTAATTTTCCGATTAATGTCCTTCTGTCAGCGATTGTAATCCTGGTGGTTACTACGTCAACTTCTGTGATGATACCAAATCACGTAGGAAGGACCAGTCCTCAAGCCTTGTTTCACATCTGTGGTCGGGTGCACAGGCACTCTCAAAACCAGAACTTAAGAGACAAGCAGACGACTGTTTGGTTACTAACTGTGGAGGGTGCATCGGCAAAGGTAAAGTCAAAATCAATGATAAATCTGTCACACACACGGAATTTATTTTAATATTTGTTGTTTTATTTGTGGTGTATAAGTAATCAGAATTTGATTTTGTTCATGCACGCGAGAAATCATAATTCATCTGTCTTACTGAGTAAAACTCAAAAATTAGAAACATGTCACATCAAATGAGCGTTCCAGAAAAAAATGTCCATTCGCGCTTTAAATGACCCATATTAGTCTTGTTTGTTTTAAGAATATCAGAAATAATATTTCCAGAAAGATTATACGTATTATAATATTTTGTTTATTCTCCGTAGGGGATATCTGGAACAGGAAGCTGCGTGCATGTTATGGCCTCTTGAAGATGATCATTGAGGCCACTGCGTCCCCTTTCCCAAATATGACGGATAATGCAGCATTCTTTAACACAGAAAACAGGACTCAAAGATCCATTCCCTAGCCTGTCACGATGACAGCGTCTGTGTTGAAAATCTCCCGCTCTTCTCAAACTTCAGTATTTATAGTTTTCTAACGAAGTATTCCATATGTCTTGACTTATAATTTAATTATATCAGTCATTTCAAATATTATTACTTGAACCTGATCTCATATCAGTTAATATTCTAACATCCACGTTTAAGTTACCTTGCCATTATATGCACCATTATACCTGCTGATTGTTCCGTAGATAAAATTTGACTTTAATCTTTTAGTTTCGACGGTGAACGAGAAATACCGACCATTCGATGATAAAAACATTGAAGAGATGTTGTTTGGTCCAGGTGACAACCCGTCTCCAGTACTGGATATGTTAGAGCAGGAAATGGCATATCGGGTCAGAGGTCATATCCGGGTATATATAGAAACAAAAGACGACTTGTCTGCTTTGGAACAAGTTTTGAAGGTAATCGAAATTGCAATATGATAAATACAATATATACATTTGTTATTTTATTTAGAATTTTCCAAATATGTCATGGCCTGGTAAATAACATGGTGCCTCTTTTTTTGTATAAGATTCTATTGTTTCAAAAGTCAAAACAGTTCAGGTTACCTAAGCCAAGATATGCTTTAAAACGCCATTGTCGAAGAGCCCCAAATTTACGAAAATAACGTTGTCGTAAGTTTGCGTTTTACGTAAGACATTAACATTTGAGTGCTGAAAATATGATATTACCTAATTTAATATATTAAGAACAACTATGTTTCACTTAATTTCCCAGCGTCTTTGAGTTTCAAATATGCAATGTATATGATCATTTGCATTCGAATGACTGGAAAATGTGTAAACATGTTTCATCCGTACAAACAAAATTATTTTAACTAAAAATCAACAAATGTGTTCATTTCAGATTGTAATGGTTTACAACAAAAATGTTACGGATGTCTCTGTTGAGATAACGGACGAAACTCTCCGAGATTTCACTAGAAGTCGAATCCAAAAGAAACTTGACAAATGGAGTAGTTCAGTTTGTCCGTATCTCAGTCGACAAATCATTGCTCCGTACACCATATCTCTATTACCGGAAGTTCGAACACGTCGTAGCATAGAACTGAGTAAGGAACGGAACAAACGGAAGGCGCAAATGCGGAACTGGGAACTTGAATGGGCATCGAATATCAGTCTGTGATAGAATATTGATTACATGAAACATTAGAAAGCATGCAAGTCTAAATCAAACGTGAAAAGACTCCATATTCAAGTAAATATATTTTTATGTTTGATATCTAATTTTGTTTTTACATAAATGTTATGGTTAATCAGTAACGATGTAATCTCTTAAGTACTAAAGAGATGTTATTGAACTCCTGGTTAATTGTACCGTGGAATATTTGTATGTAGCGAATATAATGCTATGTTTTCAAACATAGATAGGTCTTGAAGTTTTTTTTTATTATATTCACTACGTCTATAAATAACATTTATGTATAAATATTTCATACTTTGATCTAAGCCTCATATCCGACTCTATAGAAGACATTTTAAAGTAAATGAAATTTAGTAAAAATAAAATGTACTTTATCACGATTAATAAGTATTTGTACAGAGCTTTGTTTGTTTGAATTCATATCGGTACAACATGTAACCACAGAAATGACATTCCTGCAAGATGGTGGTTGAACACTTAACTCTTTATAAAACCCTCATATGTTATACTTTTACTGGTCACACAAACCGTTACAGAGCAACAATATCAGACAAGGTGAGATAACTCTACTTTGATTGAGTAAAACTTACATGGCGTGTTTCGTCGACAAAGTACTTTTCAGGAGTGTCATAATTTGCTCAGAGAATTTCAGTTTAAATTCGGATGTCGGTATTTTCTTCGTTCTGTTTCTGTCTCTATCTACAATTTCGTTGAACGAAATTATTACATACCATTACTAAACAAGAAGAAGATCCGTCAACAAAATCATAATTCAAACTCAAATTCCATAAACCTAGGACAACATATGTACAAAATAAAGATAGAAATAAAGACTCCTGAAAAAACACAAGGAAAATAAGACCATGTGTTCCGGAAGAGTAAGCGTCTTCTGCTTCATCAACGACATCCGCCATGTGAATCTTGCTGAATCTAAGTAAGTAATGGCACTTTCTCAAATAGCTTCATACCGCACAAAGAAATAGAATATTTCTCAGTGAAATCACTACGGTGTTCGTGAAACTTCTAATTTTTCTTTCACTTACCTGCATCTCTTAGAAAAAATCTGTGGAAAATTATGATATTGGAAACATGGCCTTAAATATCCGAGCAACCTATTAAGTGTCCCATCAAACCTTTATACTCTTTAACATACAAGAAACAATACACTATTTTGTATAATATGAGAATCAAACAAACAGCATTATGATCCACATTATTTTTTTACCTTAACGAATGTAAAGATTCTTGTGTTAGTTTACATTAAATTTTTAACTAAATTCGTCATATGTGTAGAATATACCAGTGCTTGTGTCTTTGATAAATCATCAATTACAAAAATGTTTTTGAAGTACAATTCCCTATAAAACACTACCGAACCGCCAGTCTTTATATCCTTGTTGTGCCACAGTGGCATTTCTGTTCTTACAAAAGATTACTATAGTATTCAGTTTTGAACAAGATAACATAATTTGAGTACATCTTTCCAAAAAACATTTATACAATTTGCGAGAAGATCCATATTGGTGTAAGATGTCACGATATCTTTGTTTGAAAAAGTCTTCTTATTGAAATTAGCTTTAAGGAGTTACAGAAAGCTGATTAACTATTTTCAGACACCCATTAGCATAATTCTGCACAATTATCTTCCCTTTTTTTTATCTTATCAGGGCCCCCATTCCATAAATAATCGATACATATTGAATTAAGTTTAAAAAAAAATAAAAATAAAAAATAAATAAATGAGAGAGTAAACTGAGATATAAGTAACGATTTAATGATATTTATTTTTTCAATAGGAGTTAATGACTTCCTCTTCCATGTATTAAGTTTTTGTCAAAATGAAGTTTAGGTCTCTCATGGAGGTTTATACTTAACTCAATCCTTAACAATGAAGTTTTTCCCCACCCCACTGTAGATTGTACTCTGGTAAAAAAAACCAGTCTTCACTCTATTTTTTTTATTCCTAATCCATGCTACTTGAGTCTTATCACCATGTACTTTTCAACAAGAAACCTTGGCAAACGTATCCAACTCTTTAATTGATTCAATTAACGAATTTTCTGACCCATCTCATATAAATGAGGTATCATCTGCATATTTTGATAACAAGAGTGAATCATTTTTTAATTTAAATCTCCTTAATGATGCTATTATTTATAACTCTTATTGCTATAATTTCTGCACAAAGAATGAATATTGGAGAAAGTTGATAGCTTATCCCTTGATTGATGTAAAACAGTAGGCTTAAACACACGTACTTGTAGATAATAGCCATGTTGATTTATGTTGAATAATAATAATGTACATGTACAAAAGCAACATCTCATCAACATACAGTCAAAGATTACTGACTTATGTATCTGATATACACTAATATCGAAATTACATTTTATAACAATATATCTTAACTCTATTTTGTAACATTCATCCCCTTTTCCCTTTCCACATCCCTTACTAACAGTCGACGTGTAGTAGAATGTCCCTTCTGCCCCTTGACCCACCCGTAGTTAACATTCAATTTCCTGTAACTGACCTTGGTCCATGACTGGCCCTGTTGCTGAAGCGGCGGATGTTGCGGGGTCCCGATGGATTATAAAATGGCAATCACTTAGTCATTGAAAGCTTAAACAAACAATACACACAATTATTCACACCAATAGCTTCCATACATATGATGATATAACGTCAATATAACATCAAATGTACCTTTACACGTTAAACCCTGTTTATATAACAATTAACAAACCATAATTGCCTAAAAATAAAGGCGGTCCATTTTACACTATCAATTATTCGAACAATATAACGCATATGGCGTCTACAGGCTGCCATAATTTTTTATACAAGCGTCACTTCCCGACCTAGTTTTACCTGTTTATTGACATTTATACAACACATTACCATTTACGATCTTCAATATACTGCATGTAACATATAATAATTACTACCACATGTCTTCCGAAAAACTAGACATGGCAATACTAATATATCAACATACACACACGTTTACAACTCCTAATTAATCGCCCTCACAGAACCAAATTAGTGAAATGAAAGATATGTAACAATATTAGTTACTCACCAAAGTCTGTATTCCGTGTCTGAATCCATGTTAACCGATAACTCGTCTACAGGAAAAAACTACACAACCATTACTCATGACATACCTTACCTGTCAATCCGCAAGTGCACTTCTAGCCTAGCATGCCATACAGCTACGGACAGATGAAACATAGAAAAACATACGAACAATTACATGCGATCGTGACAGTCTGTTTGGTACTAATGTGTTCCATTAACTCCTATCACTTCTAGTATACGTCCCTGCAACGTCTGACTGCCACTGATGTGTTCCGTTTAGCATCTACATGACTGCTATTGTTCGTGACTTATTTAGGTGTCGCCATCTCAGAAAAAAGTCTCCCTGTACTCTTGTGTTTTACCGGGAGGGTAAGAGACTTATATACCATCGACAGCAATATGTAAACTTTTGTTCGTCAAAGAACATAAGCGAAACAAAATGTTAACAACACGAAAAATTATACATGCTAACGAACACTGACCACATCTTAATTCATATTGCACAATGAAAAGGAATGTTACCCAGTGAGATAATGGTTGTCATCATAAATAGTTGCCATAGCCTTCATCGACTTTTGTCTGTTATATATTGACGTCTTAAATCTATATCTTTGTATTAAGAACAAGATCTAAAGCAACACATAACAACATTGCAATTTTATTAATTAGCATATGATGAATGTAATACATGTATAAAACAAACTATCATATTCAATACATTACTTCAAACCCTCTAAGGATTTCTTGTCTGAGTGCATATTTGTATATTATTATTGATTTTGTGCAGTCTATACGTTTTATAAAGACACGTTTTTGCTATCATAACGGAGAAAAAGTGCGGGGAAATCGAAACACGCTTAACGATATTATTGCAGCAGGTAAGGAACTTGGTTACACTGGGGAGGACCTACGACAGTTTTTGAAAGGTACCCACGACAGAGCTAGAGATGAACGAGAGAGGGGCAGTAAGCTGAGGAAAGCAGAGAGAAAGAGGCTGAAAGAGCGTTCAAGATGGAAACTGAAAAGAAGGAGGTGATGATTGAGCAGACGAAGATTGAGGCTGAGAGAAAGGCAATGGCTGATAAAAGGGTTGAGAAGGAGCACAACGCAAGATGGAGTTACACCAAGCAGGTATTTCTTATGATGCTAGCGGTTCTAGGAGATCCTCAGTTGCGCCGAAGGGACCGAAGTTACCAGCTTTTGAAGAGGGAAAGGTCAATATGGATGCATATATTCAGCGCTTTGAAGTGTAAATTATGCCACTGCTCAGAAATGAAACAGGGACCAGTGGGGGACCAACGCCTGCTGGGTAGTGCATGGTGAGGAAGGCTTGTGGAAGTCATCCCAGTTGACACGCGCGAGGAATATTGCGTGGAAAAGATTGTTGTGCTGCGGTACATTTGCATGCTTATATTCTTGTAAATGCGAAGATGAACTTATATGTTTACTGTGATCGTACTGTGTCGTGCTGTGTTAGACTTATATTTGGAAGTGCTTAGTGGAAGTGAGAGTGAGTGTGAATGTGCTTTAGTGTGGATTGGTATTTGTATTAAATAAACTGTAAATATTTTCTAGTACAATTGGTATGCATTCTTGCTTTCAATTCTGAACACCTAAAACCGACGCTTCTCCTACGTTACAGTTAACTTATGATTTGTATAGTTGATATTTCAGAAATTGTATAATGGTATGATCAATTATAAGATTTGTAGAGGGGAGACGTAATACGTTGGAAGTGAATCTTAAAGTAGGAAGTAATTTATTTGTTACTTATTTGATATATTTTAAAAACATATATGTTGATGTATGATGATTTCACAATCAAATTTCTTATTGAAAAGGGGACGAATGTAACAAAATAGGGTTAAGATATATTGTTACATTATGTAGTTTCGATATTAGTATATATCAGATACATAAGTCAGTAATCTTGGACTGACTGGTTGTGGGATTAATTTTGTCAATATGTAACATTTAATAGAATGGGTGTAATTATGAATGTACACAGACATTTCATTAATTTATTTACAGTGGACAGCACCGACATCTACTTATCCCGGTTAATAAGTATTTGGCAGTTGAATGGCAGTCTAATAAACGGAAGTCCATCTTGATAAGAAACTCAACCACTCGGACATTAGATCGTGACATTTTTATGAAATCATATAGAATAGGGATAAAAGGAGGGGAGTTTTTGGAAGGGGGATAGAACCCTAGGGACAGAGCCCTTTGGACAGATAGACAGAGATAGCTCACTAGTCCCATGGACAGAGTGGTAACACTTTGATGAACAGTATGAGGATTTTAGTGTATACCTTTGAAGTACTGTTTTTATACATGGGCAGTTCTGATACTTGACACAACGTGAAGTACTAGTATGAGTATATGAACTCTGTATGTTGATGAAGTGTTGCTTTTGTTCATGTAACATTATGATTATTCCACATGTAATAAACATGGCTATTACCAACAAGTACGTGTATTTACGCCTACTGTTTTACATCAATCAGGGGATAAGCTATCTTCTTTCTCCAATATTGAGAGGGACTGCAGACAGGGGGATCCAATTGCACCATATTTATTCATTCTTTGTGCAGAAATTTTAGCAATAAGAGTTATAAACAATAGCATCATTAAGGTGATTTAATTAAAAAATGATTCACTCTTGTTATCACAATATGCAAATGATACCTCATTAATATGAGATGGATCAGAAAATTCGTTAATTTAATCAATTAAAGAGTGGGATAGGTTTGCCAAGGTTTCTTGTTGAAAAGTAAATGTTGATAAGACTCAAGTAGTATGGATTAGGAATAAAATATACAGCGAAGACAGTTTTTTTTACCAGAGTTGAATCTACTGTGGGGTAGGAAAAATTACATTGTAAAGGATAGAGTCAAGTATAAACCTCCATGAGAGACCTAAGCTTCATTTTGATAAAATCTAAAAGCATTAGAAAATACATGGAAGAGGAGGTAATTAACTCCTATTGAAAAAATAAATATCATTTAATCGTTACTTATATCTCAGTTTACTTTTTTATTTATTTCTCTACCTAACCCTGATAATGCTTTTATTTTGTTAAATTTAATTAAATATCCATCGATTACTTATGGAATGGGGACCCTGATGAAATAAAAATGGAAGATAATTGTGCAGAATTATGCTAATAGGCGTGTGAAAATATTCAATCAGCTTTCTGTAATTTTGATAAGACTTTTTTCAAACAAAGATATCGTGGAATCTTACACCAATATGGATCTTCTCGCAAACTGTGGCAGTGAGCATATTGATAATTGTTTAAAAGAATTGTAAAAACGATTTTTAGAAAGATGTACTCAAATTATGTTATCTTTTTAAAACTGAATACTACAGTAATCTTTTTCAAGAACAGAAATGCCACTCTGGCACAACAAGGATATAAAGACTGGCGGTTCGGTAGTGTTTTATAAGAAATTGTACTTCAAAAACATTTTTGTAATTGATGATTTATCAAAGACACAAGCACTGGTATATTCTACACACATGAAGAATTTAGTTAAAATTCTAATTTAAACTAACACAAGAATCTTTACATTCGCTAAGGTAAAAAAATTAATGTGGATCATAATGCTGTTTGTTTGATTCTCATATTATACAAAATAGTGTATTGTTTCTTGTATATTAAAGAGTATAAAGGTTTGATGGGACACTTAGATATTTAAGGCCATGTTTCCAATATCATAATTTTCCACAGATTTTTTTCTAAGAGATGCAGGTAAGTGAAAAAAAAAATTAGAAGTTTCACGAACATCATAGTGATTTCACTGAGAAATATTCTATTTCTTTGTGCGGTATGAAGCTATTTGAGAACGTGCCATTACTTACTTAGATTCAGCAAGATTCACATGGCGGATGTCGTTGATGAAGAAGAAGATGTTTACTCTTCCGGAACACCTGATCTTATACTTGTGTTTTTTCAGGAGTCTTTATTTCTATCTTTATTTTGTACATAGTTGTCCTTGTTTTATGGAATTTGAGTTTAGATTATGATTATGTTGACTTATTAGTGTTTTCTTGTCGTTTAGTAATGATACAATGTATGTAATAATTTCGTCCAATGAAATTGTATATCGAGACAGAAACAGCGAAGAAAATACCGACATCTCTATGGAATCTGAATTCAAACTGGAATTCTATGAACACTCCTGAAAAGTACTTTGTCGACGAAACTCGACATGTAAGTTTTACTCAATTCAAGTAGAGTTATCTCACCTTGTCTGATATTGTTGCTCTGTAACGGTATACATGACCGGTAAAAGTATAACATATGAGGATTTGATAAAGTGATAAGTGTTCAACCACCATTTTGCAGGAATGTCATTTGTCCGGCAACATGCTATACCGATATGAATTCAAACAAATAAAGTTCTGTACAAATACTTGTGATCAATTACAATTTCATTTACTTTAAAATGTCTCTTGAGTCGGGAATGAGGCTTAGATCAAAGTATAATATTTTAATACATCAATGTTATTGATAGACGTAGTGAATACAAAAAACCTTCAAGACCTATCTATGTTTGAAAACAAAGCATTATATTAGCTACATACAAATATTAAAATAAATAAATAAATAAATAGATAAAAAAAAAAAAACCAAAAAAACAAAAAACAAAATAAGATATCAAACATGAAATATATTTAACTGAGTGTGGAGTCTTTTCACGTTTGATTCAGATTTGCATGCTTTCTAATGTTTCATGTAATCAATATTCTATCACAGACTGATATTCGATGCCCATTCAAGTTCCCAGTTCCGCATTTGCGCCTTCCGTTTGTTCCGTTCCTTACTCAGTTCTATGCTACGACGTGTTCGAACTTCCGGTAATAGGGATATGGTGTACGGAGCAATGATTTGTCGACTGAGATACGGACAAACTGAACTACTCCATTTGTCAAGTTTCTTTTGGATTCGACTTCTAGTGAAATCTCGGAGAGTTTCGTCCGTTATCTCAACAGAGACATCCGTAACATTTTTGTTGTAAACCATTACAATCTGAAATGAACACATTTGTTGATTTTTAGTTAAAATAATTTTGTTTGTACGGATGAAACGTGTTTACACATTTTCCAATTATTCGAATGCATATGATCATATACATATTGCAATTTCGATTACCTTCAAAACTTGTTCCAAAGCAGACAAGTCATCATTTGTTTCTATATATACCCGGATATGACCTCTGACCCGATATGCCATTTCCTGCTCTAACATATCCAGTACTGGAGACGGGTTGTCACTTGGACCAAACAACATCTCTTCAATGCTTTTATCATCGAATGGTCGGTACTTCTCGTTCACCGTCGAAACTAAAAGATTAATGTCAAATTTTACCTACGGAACAATCAGCAGGTATAATGGTGTACATAATGGCATGGTAACTTAAACGTGGATGTTAGAATATTAACTGATATGAGATCAGGTTCAAGTAATAATATTTGAAATGACTGATATAATTAAATTATAAGTCAATAAATATACTTCGTTAGAAAACTATAAATACTGAAGTTTGAGAAGAGCGGGAGATTTTCAACACAGACGCTGTCATCGTGACAGGCTAGGGAATGGATCTTTGAGTCCTGATTTTCTGTGTTAAAGAATGCTGCATTATCCGTCATATTTGGGAAAGGGGACGCAGTGGCCTCAATGATCATCTTCAAGAGGCCATAACATGCACGCAGCTTCCTGTTCCAGATATCCCCTACGGAGAATAAACAAAATATTATAATACGTATAATCTTTCTGGAAATTTTATTTCTGATATTCTTAAAACAAACAAGACTATTATGGGTCATTTAAAGCGGGTATGGGCGTTTTTTCCGGAACACTCATTTGATGTGACATGTTTCTTATTTTTGAGTTTCACTCAGTAAGACGGTTGAAATATGATTTCTCGCGTGCATGAACAAACTCAAATTCTGATTACTTATACACCACAAAAAAACCCAACAAATATTAAAATAAATTCCGTGTGTGTGACAGATTTATAATTGATTTTGACTTTACCTTTGCCGATGCATCCTCCACAGTTAATAACCAAACAGTCGTCTGCTTGTCTCTCAAGTTCTGGTTTTGAGAGTGCCTGTGCACCCGACCACAGATGTGAAACAAGGCTTGAGGACTGGTCCTTCCTACGTGATTTGGTATCATCACAGAAGTTGACGTAGTAACCACCAGGATTACAATCGCTGACAGAAGGACATTTATCGGAAAATTAAAAAATGTTTTTCAAAGTGTTCCAAATTTCGCTATTTACAAAATGGATTAAAATTGTAAATAATGATATTTAGAACAATAATGATAGATAGATATATCACAATAAATAGAAAAAAAAGACATCACAATAATGAGCGAATAAAAAACAGATCCATTAATTAATAAAACTGATCAAATTATAGTCCGTTTCACTCTCTTCGTCCTCGATAAATATTAAGTTAATAAACATCACTATTGATATCAAACAATTTATCATCTATGATCTGTATCGATGGTCGTCATCCTATATATTTTATCATATGAGCTTATTAATGCTGTTATCTTTCTACACCTTACCTCCCTTGCCACATTTGACACATTATGACCGTATATTGATATATTTCCATTTGATGTGTATTTGTACCTGTCTCCATATTTGATATAGAACGCATCTGTTCCCAATGGATGTTCTGCACATTTTGTGCCAGTATTTTTTCTTTGCACAAGAACGCCTCCTGTTCAAAGAAAATGTAAGATTCTTGACTAATATAAATGTTCTATTTCCGTGACGATAACGTTATGTGGACATCAAACATCATCGGTTACTCTACAAATCAAACATATTCATAAAATTGAAACACGCTATCAGGAACTCCGACGAACTAATTTACTTTGTAATTGTGTTTTAAGATATCATGGTATCAGTTTCAAAATATTTATATATATTTGGCTCAGTTGCACAGCTCAAAATATCTTAAACCTTAGTTTAAATAAGTTTCACAGGACAATTTTACAGGATGAGTCACAAATGTAATTTTACCTTTTTGATGAATGTCTACCAAATTTTTGGTGAACATATATAATTGGTCATTTCCTTCATTCCAGAAATTGACAGAGACATCCGAATTCTTCTCCCTTATATCAACATAGATAAATGTAGCATGACAGCCGATACTCAATACCATCTGTTTAAGGCTGAGAGCAGGTACACAACTCTTTATCAGCGAGGATACCACAACATTAAGGTCAAAGCGTGTACCATCATCGATCATATACCCCGATATTTGCACGGCTTGACCTCGGGTGTAAAATATCTTCTCTTCCTCGTGCCTCTCTTCGATGTTCTCGTCATTCATGGAACTTGTTTTGTAGCCCGCTAGAATTCGCAACTTGCTGCCTAAATCACTGGTGACTTCTTCCAAGCATTCTATCAATCGCACGTCAATTCGGAAATAGCGTCTTCCGAATGGTTTGAAATCTGAGACGATGTAATTATCTGACATGGGTAGCTTTTCGTTGATGCCATCGACGATGCCAGGAATGGTTTCGGCAGAAATCTTTTTCACATAAATTGGTTTATAGTCATCTATTTCAGAAGTTGCTGGATTGACATGTAACATACTGACACGAGGATAGATCTCTAGAGTGGCCCAGTATCCCGCTTGATCTCGTACAAATACGTCAACATATAGAGTACCGGAAAGAGCAATGTAGTCGAACCCTGCAGCAATCGCTAGGTTGGCAAGCGATATCGGGGAGAACGTTGAATTCGTAGTTTCAAAGCGCAATGCTCTGTCAAATGAACAGCAAAATAAATTTGGAAGTAGAGCATCGCCAGACTTTGACTTCTAAAACATTCAACATCAGAAACTTAATTCAAATCGAGTACATTCCTTTATACTAAATTGATAAATAAGACTGGATATTGTGGCATTTCGTCTTCATATAGACATGTCACTGTACGCCTAAATGCTCATTTAAATGTATGTCATGTAACTAAACAGTATAAAACAGGTACATCAAATTCAAATCAACGGCACAAGTTGTTTTAATAATACTTTAAGTTTGGATGTACAACATATTTTCAGCAGTCATTTAGTAAGGGTTTTCTAGTGGAGAGAATCGGACTTGCAATCTTGTCATTCAGATTCCAGCTTTTCATATTGAAAGTGGCAAATTTTGATCTTAATCGACGCTTTATTTTAATTACCTCAGTTATAAGAACATGATGATCAAAAGAGAAATGATTTTTGTATACACGTTCTAGCTATATAGATGCGATGTCCGATTTATTCTGACATATCTTATCTTTTGCGGTAGTTGTACCTTATAATGTAATTACCTGCCAACGTTCCCATATATCATTATGTCGGCTTCATCCAGCTCCTGTGGCACTATTACATCCACTGGATGAAATAATATCAATTACAAATACATTACAGTCTTGATGAATGTAACGATCAGAAATATTCGACTATTTACCTACCTAATGTCACAGTTATAGCATCAAAAAGATATGAGAACTGAAATTTGATCATCTTAATCTTACGTTTTATGGTTTAGAAGGCATCATGGATAAATTGATATACAGGAATAAGGACCACAACGAGGACCAGGTCATTGCTCCCTGACAGCAGTTCGGCAGTTTATAAGATGATAAAATTATCTCCAAAAGTACAATTTGTTTGTTTTCTATGGTTTACTTTGAGAACTACAAAATTATTACAATTTTTAAAGTACTTATCTATAGTTTTAAGATGACGCTTGATGCAAATAGTGAATCCCTTACGTTGATGTTTACTGAGAATTGCAAGTCGTCGGAGTCTAAGAGCCATTCTAGGGGTCATTGTTCGAGTCAGGCACCAGTCCCAAGGGTCATCGGATTTATCGTACGTCTTACAATCCTTACAACGTCTGGTATCTGTACCACAGGCAGAATCCTCCGGACCCTCACGGGCAAAGCTCACATCAGCTGATGAATACTGTATCATTCTGAAATAGAAAACGAAACTATACGAATTTTGGTTGTAGAGGAGCTTGCTGTTCATGTCGATATGAATGGCAGTTAGCGTAATATAATATTGAAAAGATATGCTTTTCCTAAATCTATTAAACGTTCGTGCATTCGGTAAATCGTTTACTGTTTAAAATACATAGAGTATTATCAATATAAAGATATTCCTACTGTTCAAGACTTACATAATTATGTAAAGATTATACTAGGTAGGTATCCATGTAGATGTGATTTACACTTTTTAAACCTGAGTTAGATATCCTATGTTAATGAATGCATTGTACCTCATCATCTGTGCGTTATTATCTACAGAGAAAACCTCGTCAACAGGACCAAGAATATCAACGGCCGCTTTGTTCTTAGGGTATGTAGAGTGACTATCGAAGTGAGACGGTGGAGTAGGCGTCGATTTTAGAGCTGTAATACAAGAATTTATTAGAGTTTCAACAGGTTAGTAATTGCTGTCTGAGAGAAATATGCTAATCATAAAATGTATATATGTTGGAAAATTAACAAAATTAAAAAGTGTGTGTGCGTTTTAAGTTAATATATGTATTTTTATAATGATCTGTTATTTAGTTTTAACAATATTTTTCATCAATAAACTATGACGTATGCATACCCAAATTTGCCAATTTGTCAAGAAACTCTTGTCTTTCGGCGTCCTCAAGTTCTTTTCTTGACGCTTCCCTCTTTTTCCTCCTTCTACGGGCTACAAGTCTCTTCAAGCACGTATCAATTATATTTTTGTCAGTTCCTGGTGATATTTCATAATATGTAAACCCGGAACATGATGCTAGTTCAAGGAGTCGATGAACGATTTGCTGGCTTCCTTCGAGCGAATTGCTCTCGTTTGATAATGTTAGTGGTACACTGACT